TATAAAACTTAACAAAGCAGTTAGAATAGCCATCGTGATCGTGAATCTCAAGAGCAATAAAAGCAATAAAAATTGAAGGCAAAACACAAACCACAAATAGCTGCAGCACCCGAAAACAAAGCGCCCAAGGAAATCAATAATAAATAAAAAACGGTTTTTGTTGCTGACCTTCACCAAATGTTGCTGCAAATATTTTGGTTAAAGAAAGATGCTACACCGAAATAAGTGAATAAATATTTACTAAGTTGAGTGAATTCATTACAGATTCGTGCTGCTCATTTATATTGTATTAGTTGTACAAGTCGACTTTAAATGATATCTCTGATAAATTGGACACTACACGACGCATTTTGATTTGGCAATTTCAAGTTGACCTCTCTGCAAGAGATGGCTAGCAACTAGTCAGCGAACAATCGTTATTATCAGTATTATAAATGCTTTAGATCCGCTTAGCGCTTAATTGTTTGCGCAAGTGCGAACATATTAATACAGACAATACTCGGGACCCCCTCCACATGCAGGCCGTCTCTGTGACGTCGACTTAGCCAAACAGCACACCGTGCGTATGCGCGATTTTGCATGCACGAGTGAATCTGACCCGCATACATGCACATATATACACTGAAAAAACAACATTTCAGAAACTGGCTGAAACATGTCATTAAACGTTTTGACGCTGATATTGCACAGATATTAACAGTAGAATAAAAGCTAACTACACCGAAAATGATATACACTTACAGACCAGAGTTACTCTGGAGTTACTCTGAAATATGTCAAAATCAGGAAATAAGGACTAAATCTTCAAAGTCTTTAACAGGCAGTGGGAAACATGTTCGACCCGCTAAAATATATATATCCGTCTATCACCACTATTTATTTAACAGATATGTTCAGGGTATCTCGTAGTCGAACTCTCTAAACTAAGAGCCTTCTAACTTGTTTACTTTAATCGTTGTTCGATCTTTAAACACTATTTATTTATAACAAGTAGAATTAGTAAAGATAATCGATGCTGACTCTTTGAAGCAGCTTACGAAAGCAATTGCTAAGGGGTCAAGTATAGAATTATCAGTTTAGCGTAACTTTAAGAATAATATGAAATACGTACATACAATTACAATCAAAGTAATAGTACTTCAAGCCTTTCATAACTTTTTATCTTTCATATTAGACTTATTTTATGTTTTATTAATTACTTCCAACTTACTTCCAACAGCTTATGATGCAATTTTCTAAATTAAAATATAATGCTTCAAATATACGACGAAGAATTCATACATTATGTTGACTAATTTCCGCAGACTCTATTATTAAGATGATTTTAAAAAATTTAGAATAAATGTATTTTATATATATTTTATATATATTCTTGTGTGACCCCATTGTATCTTTTAAAAATTAATTTTTACCATTTTTCAGTGTACAATTATATCGCTTTAATTATAGCTATGGTAATGTTGCATTGTTGCTGCAGCTTTCAACCAAATTTGTGATAAGCGCCTAAATTGATTATCTGCGCCGCCCTTTGCTTATAGGTCAGGCGAGTGAAAAAGCCCAATTAAAAAAAGGCTTATGAGCTTAAGGTCAAAGATGCCCAAAACAGATTACAATATTTTTCATTAAGCTGCATCCATTCACAGATACAGAGAAAAGTGTTAATTGTAAGAGAAACACATCGCAATGAAACTAAACAATTTCGGGGGAAAAACGTGGATAGACATATAAGCAAATATATATACACATTATTTAACGGCCTTTTTGAGGCGAAGGTGGGAGACAACTAATAACCATTTAGTTATGCATACGAGTTCGTTGCGAAAGTCGCTTGATAAAGATCAAACTCTGGCATATTTTTGTTATTAACGATATGCGGCATGAATAATGTAAATGTGTATATTGGAAAAGGTTCAGTTAATTGTGAATCCTAATGATATTTAGCACAAATTCCATAACTCCGTCCGTTAGCCAAGTAATAATTCGATTTGCGTTTGCCATCTAATCAAAAATGCCGGCTGAAGCCAAAGCTAAATTTCGATTGTGGTTGTTGGTGCTGTTGTTGTTGTTATTGTGGCTGTTGTCGGTGTTGTTGTGACTGTTGTTGTTGCCGGAGGCGCGTGTGCACTTTTAGAGCAGCTCGAACACCCGTTCGACAAGAATGCGAAGCAGCTCACTGAAGGTAGACCGCTTTCAAGCACACCACGCAACCAGATTGAGCCAAGAACAGCCGGCTAATATGCTTAGGTTTTTTTTTCTAACAATTGAGCGGATATTGTGGAACGGTTCAAGTGCTTGTACCACATGCGAGAAATGGTATAGAAAACTCATTAATCATTATTAAAATAATAGTTTCAGTTCATCCAACACAAAGATTTTAAAGATTTGCGTGGCAAGATCACTTATTTAAATGCATATTATCTTTAACAAACTCATTTGTTCAATTTTAGCTAGGACAATAAATTATATATTGATCTGAAAAACAATTTTTTTTTTTTGCGCCTGTGAAATCTGCTGCCAGTAATTGAGACTCGAACTTGATTGATTTAGGTATCTTCTAAGATTATTAAAGTTATCATATTATCAATGGAAAACTAAATACAATTTCGCAAGTATGCATTTAACTAATTATAAAATTAAATAAATAAAATAGTGTTAAAAATACTAAAGCTTATGTTAGAGCATCTGGGCCACGACTTTCGCACTTAAGCTTAAATGTGCTGTTTATTATTTAAATTTTTTATTATACATCCATTAATAGTTTTTATATGAGCAAAACCCGTTGCTATCGCTTGACATGTTCAAGTTGTGGTTTGTCATGAAAATTCTAAATGACTTGCGCTTGCCATTTAGCAAATGCTAATGTCTATTGCAACTTCCAAAGCTGTACAACAACTTCATTGGTCGTCGTCTTGCCAAAGACCTTGACTTTCTTTTCAAATTTTCTTTGTCGTCTACAATTAGCCAGCAGACATAAAAAAAGTTACTTCTGCTCGTTTCTGGCAAAGTTGACACAATACTGCACACTGAAAGCAAAAATATTTGTCTATAGAAAGCCAAAGTCAAAGCGTTTATGGTTTTTTTTTGTTTTTTGTTTTTTTTTTTTGTTATTGCTTACTCATGCATTTGTCCAACAAAGTTTCTACAAAGTTGTATAGCTTGTGACATTTCACTTTGCACACACAATGATAATTATGACCTCCCCTAATAATATGGGAATTCTTATACATTTAGACAACAGCCGCCTCAGTTCATATGCAAATTTTTATACATGTTCATCATATTCTTCTTCATCTTTTTTGGGCATAACAAATAAACGGAATTCGCCTGTTTCGCATTCTGACAGGCCAACGAACAAAAGCCTCGCATAAATTTATGAATTGAATTTGTCTTTGTTTTAAACGCTACAATGGAAAATCAATTAAAGTTTACCACCTGCTTAAATAGTTTTTCTTTTTTTTCTTTTTTTTTTGTTGTACTCAATAGCCTTCCGCTTGCACATTTAATGATACAGCCATGGACAAACAATTGGCATAAGAGCAAAGTAAATCGCATGTTTATTTCCCAATATTTTTCTTCTATGTTTTTCACAACTTTGCCTGCAAGTTTATTATGCTTTCTTAAACTTGATTTTTAGCCATTACGAGATTCGTTAATTATTCTATTTTTGCTAAAATCATGTTTTATTACATCAAATACGATTTTAAGTGCTCACATAAAATACTAAGCTTATTTAGTATTGGGACTATTTCTTTAATTCGTAATAACTTTTATACATCATAGACTTTTACTCTTAATAGCCTTGCCATTTATATTTTGGTAAGAAACTTTGATATTTTTTCTCAATGTTTCTATGTATTTGTATGGCTATAACTGTTGTGCGAAGAGTTATGCAGCTACGCAGATTCCGGCACAGGTACACACATAACTAGTTTCCAATAAAACACACACATTTCAAGGCAATAAACTATGTTTTGTTTGTTTTGGTCCGAGCTAAGCCGGCAGCCGGGTCGGAGTCGAGTCGAGTCGATTCGAGTCGATTTGAGTCGCGTCGCAGCCTGGACGCGTGTCTACAAAAAATGCATTTCAATTTCATTACGTTGAACATTTGTCTGGTGTCTGCAGTCTGGTGTCTGGTTAATATTGACCGTGCATGTCATTCGCATTTCATTTGGAAAGTTGTTTGCTTCCTGCTGTATTCAGCTGCACATTTTTAGCTATTTTTGATTCAAAAACACATTACACAATATCAATGAAAATGGTTATTTTAATGCTTATCAGATTAATTACACACATGCGTTTAGAGAACTCTTCAAACCGACAATTAGAACGAGCGTCAGTTAACTGACAACTGAATTAGAATACACAACGCTGGCAAAATGCCCAGCACATAAAAGCATTAAATCAATAAAAATCATAAGTATTTAAGGACACTATGCTCAAGAGCTTTGACATACTTGGATCCTTACAACGAGCCATCCAATGGGTGACAGATGTCGACAAAGTGGAAAAATCAAATGAAGTCAGGGTCAATGCGAGCTAAAAAGTATGGTATTATTTATTTTGAATCGCTTGAGCCAATATTGGTTATCTATTTGTAGATAAAAAATATATATATAATTACTAGACATAAAATATCTTTAAAAATGTTATGACTACTTCTTAAATATGCAAAGTTTGTATTGTATTTCGGAACGTTTTAAATTTAAATTTGTCCCCTTAATTAATGTAATCAAAAATAAAATAAATAATAGAAATTCTCAAACAGTTGAGAGATTAATTACAACACAATTAACATCTTATAACTCTTCGATATAAATATAGAATTGTAATTAAGTAGTACAGAGGCGCTAAAGAAAAAGAAAAAAACATATCTTAATTATAATTTGTTATCGATAGCACTTAAAAGGCCAAAACCAACCGAGCAACATTTGGCAGTGTTGGCAACACTATGACGCTTTTACAACAGCTGTTTACGATTCGCGCTCAAGCGAACATTTTGTTTATAATTTTCGCTGCTCACATCAGCAATGGCCAGCACCTCTCGGAATGCCTCACGGGGCAGAAATACAGCAGTTTCGCAATCCCAGGTGGAATCATGGCCCGTGGAAATCGACAACCAAGTGCGGGCCATGCTCAATTTCATTCTATGCCATTCGGCCAATAAAGTGCCCATCAAATTAAATGATTTGATGCCCCTGGCGGAAAACAAAAACGAGTTAAATAAGCGGATTCCGATTGTAAGCAAACTACTCGAAGAACGCTATGGAATCAAGCTCATTCAGCTTGAGGGAACACCTAAGAGATATATCTGCGTATCCGAGATGCCGGCGACGTCCATATTCGAAATTACGGCCGCACAACGGCCCCAATTTACATTGTTGTACATTATATTGACGTACATCTTTTTACGCGGCAATCGGATTGAGGAGAATAAACTCTATGACATGCTGGACATGTTGGAAGTCAACGTGCACGAGGAGCATGGATATTTTGGGGCGAACATATCCAAACTAATCGAAGATACGTTCGTGAAGCAGCAGTATCTGAAGCGAGAGCGCTCACAGCTCAGCTCCTATGATGATCTCAAGATTAGCTACACTTGGGGACCACGGGCCAAATCCGAGTTTACCTATGAGCAAATTGTCCAGTTCGCATCCAAGTTGTTCGACCAGGACGTCGCCTTCTTTCAGAAACAGCTTATGATGGCTGAGGGCATCGATAATCCCGAGATGTTGGAACATATTTCGATGGCCAGCGTCAATAACGCCGAAACAAGCTATATTGACTTAAAATCAGAGCACACAAACTCAATAGATACTGATAGCCAATAAAACGGTTGATATAGTTCAAACAATTTGTCAATTATAGATTTTTATTTATAAATATATTACATTTATATTTTGCAAAACTTCTGTCTTTTTGTAAAACTCATTTTCAGAGAAAATTTGAAAATCATAATTTTTGAAAAATGGGCTAAGGCCACTTATTCGTTAGGAATTTTACAATCCTATTTTTTAAGAGAATTGGCCCTGCCAAATCGAATTATTATTATAGTATCTCCATAAAGCTGATTTTTTCAAAAGAATCTTTTCTTTTTCATATTCCAAGACGATGTCCCAGCTAAAAAGCTTTGATTGCCTTATTCTTGTTCCTCTAAATTCTGATCAAGTAATCATATTTACCCTAATTTTCCAAATGCCTATGTTATTTGGGGAATCATGTGTATGTGATCACATTTTTAAATAACCTCCAATTAATTTGTAATTAAACCTTAATTTAAACCAAACGAATAAAAATTAAACTATAATAATAATATGATAAAGTTAAAATTACAAATAACATATTTGAGTTACATTTTGTGCATAACTAATTACATTGCATTGCATTACATTAATTAAGATTAAAATCTCAGCTTAGATTATAAGACACTTTCAATACTTGGCATAGTCCGTGTCCATGATCAGCTTGCCGTCCTTGTCTTTGAGTCGCACTCGACCGTTGGAGTAACGTGTCTCCTGGCTACCATCCGGATAGACGAGCTTGACGGTGCCATCGGGATACTCGCGCCGTTTATTCAATTTGGTGTGGATCTCCTTTTGGCCATTGGGCATATGTAGAATCTTATCTCCACTTCGCAGCTGCACCAAATGCGTGCCATCTGCGTAGCGCCACTCCTCCAATTTCTCTGCATCACTGGGATCGACAATTTTAATTGAATTATTGGGAAAGTGTATTTCGATGGTGCCATCTTTCTTGCGATGCTCGGTCTGTCCATTGGGGAACTCGAGTATTTCCAGGCCATCCAGGTAGGTGGTGTGCCAAGTGTTCGTTTCCGCATAATAATACTTGACCGTGCCGCCCCGTATGTCCGTCTCCTTGATGTCCTTGTTGAAGTAGAGCATGCGCACACTCATGCCGTCGCAACTGATCTTTTTGAGATTGCCATTCGGATACCAGATATCCTTGCTACCATCTGCATTAACAATTTCACGCTTGAACTCGCTGTTGCTGCTGTTGCCGTGGGTGCCTGGAACGGGTGATGCCTTCTTGGCAGCCGGTGGAGAAGGGATGACGACCTCATCCAACTCGCCGGAGCTGCTCGAGGCATAGCTCTCATTGGGAGGCTGCGATTTCCTGCGACTGCTGCGATTGCAGCTGTGGCGTCGACTGGCCACTGAACGCTGTTTGGTCGCCTTCTCCTGGAGGACGTCACCAATGGATTTCGATTGTCGCTTGCCATTTTCATCCGTATTTTTTTGTGCCGGTTCCTGCTAATCATTTGCCATGAATTGTCAACGATTTTGAGATGTGTTTTAGTTACTTACCAGCTTGGGCGCTAGGCGCGCAATGTTCCGATTGATCTCCTGCAGCATTTTGCTGTTGCTATCGCGCGTTAGCTTGACCAGCTCTTGTTCGAGTCGCTTGTTCTCGCGGCCCAGCAGCTCAATCTCGTCCTGATAGCCGCGCTGCTCCTTTTCGGTGGCACGTAACTGGGCCCGTAGTCGCGCCTGCGCTGCCACATGGGTCTGTTCCTTTTGCTTGAGCTGCTGCTGCAGTGCCTCCACCTCCTGCTTGAGCGCTGCCAACTCACGTTTCTCCTTGGTGTTTATGTTGCTCTTTTGCATACGCATTTGTTGCTCGCATTTGCGACGCTCCTCTTCGATTTTCATACGCTCGTCATGCAAATAGATTTCCGCCTTGATTTTCTCATCATGCACCCGATCCATGGCTTCCTGATGCTCCTGCGCACTGTTAGCCTTGTCGAGCTCATGTTGCTGCTTCAGTAGCAACAGCTGCGCATTTTGCTCCTTAAACGTGGCTATTTCTGTTTCCAGCTCCTGCAGACGCTTCCGCACCAGATTAGCTTGGATTTGCAGTTCCTGCGTTAAGGGCTCCTCGCTAATCGTTGTTTTTGTTGTTGTTGCTGTTGCTGTTGTAGTTGGGTGTTGTAGCTTCCTTTGTTCTAGCGCCTGAAAAAGCGCCGTTTTGAATTCCTCAAAGAGCTGTACATTGGTTGCATCCTGCAAAGTTGTCTCATCTGAATACTCGTGCGTATCATTCGAATCGGAGAAGCGCACACGCACCTGTGTCCTGCCATCACCCAGTCTCAGGGGTGTCAGTGTTAGTGTGCTGTTCACCTCATCCTCCGCATCGTGTTCCTCCTCAATGATCTCTGCCACATCTGGCTGCAGTCGCATTTCACGCAACTGTTGGGTAACCATAATCTGGTCACTGTCATCGGCAGCGTCGGCATGACGACGCTGCTCCTTGCGTGCCATAAATGTGCGTATGCAGCTGGAGTTCATGTCGATGTTGCCCTCGCGCGCCTTCTGCTCCAGCAACTCAAAGATGCTCACATTCTCATCGTTCTCAACGCATATCTGCGCCGTGCGCCGATGCAACACAGGCGGATGAATTTGCTGGGTGTTCAGCACCTTGGCCCAGCACACATTTGTCAATGCTGCCGTGGAGCTTGCCTCTGTCGATGATTGCTCATCATCGGCCGTTTGCCCTTTTTCGTTCTGCTCGACAAACCGCACCTTGGGCGAAATACTTGTGTTGGTGTTGGTGTTGCTGGACGAAGATGCATGGGATGACTTTAGGTCCGGTGTGGAGCTGCACACATTCTTGGCATTCATCAGCAGTTGTTGAAAGCGTTGCTCCTTCAGCGATAATTGAGCTTGCGGAGGCTGTGCTGGTGTTGTGCGTGGCTCTTTGTGCGTTTTTAAAATACTCCGTTTCTGTGGCGGTTTTCCAGGAGTAGGCATTGTCCGGAGTTGTGGATGAGCATTGGCAAACTTGTAGCGCGGTAAATTGTCCAAACGCAATTTATCAGGATCAACTTTGAAGCGCTGTTTTAGACCCTCACCGCGGCGTAGAAATGCCCGTTTGGGCTTTACTGACCGTGGACCATTGGCACCCGTTGCAATCTCTGTGAGTTGGAAGCCCTCCTCGTTGATGTTGTTATTCTCCTCCTGCTCCTGCTCCTGTTCATGGTCCGCATGGCGCGGCATTTCTATGCTTGATGCTTGCTGCTCTTCCTGCTCCTGCTCATCATTGTCCGACATATCTCTAATGTCCATTGTCTTGAGATCCTTGTGCAATAGTCCGAGCATTTCATACATATTCCGCTGTTCCAAACCAAGCAATAAGCGCTGATTATTTTGTCGTTCTTCCAGCAGACGTTTTTGTTCCTCTTGCCAGCGATTTAGGGCAGCCAAGCGGGTTGATATATCTTGTTGTGCCGGGACATCGATAATATTTTCCTCCGATTCATTCATAGTTCACTGGGTTGGTCTTAAATCTAATATGCGTGTTATTATTGTTTATATGTTCCAAGGAACTGACGCCATGCATTCAAAAAGACCCAATTAATAATAGTGCTGTAAAGTGTTGCGAATAGGTAACCAGGGCTGCAAGCTCCTCAAGCTAACCATTTAATTCATATAAACACATTTCATTTTTTTCTACATTTTTATTTAATATGAGCTATTTACATTGATTACATTGCGCCGCATTACGAATCCGGCTCCTGATCTTCGTTCCCCTCCTGCTCATCAAAATCGCGTACCTGTACATCAGCATCTTCGCCATACTGTAGAACACTATCGATCTGCAGCAACAGATCACCAACACTCTCCTCATCCTCTGTGTCGAGGGGAAAAAATCGCACCAAGCTGTTAAAAGAAATGTAAACATTACTATAGAAACGCCAGAATGTACAGGCTGTAAAAAAGTGGCAACGCCAACACTGCATGCGCTTGCCAGCCCTGGTATTAAGGAAAATATTTTTTTCGTCGCGTTGTAAAATGTGCAAATAAGTGGAACCATATAATTAAAAATAAAACAGTGTTTTACGTAATGTACTAAAGCAAAAACTCTAGTGTGACATTTAAGTGTAAGGCGCAAAATCTTTGGCGCCACAAAAAGCCGATTGAAGAAAATACCCAAAAAAATCCCAAGCAACAGCAACAACAAAAGCAAAATTCGACTCATTTTCAATAAAACATTTTTTGGGCACACACCAAAAACGGCAAAGTAACTAAAAAACCCTGAATTTACGACCGCACCGTAATTTTTGAAAACAATGGACAAGCAATCGGACATGGACCTTACCAAAGTGTACGTTGTACGCTCCGCCAAAGGCGTCGACATGCTATGCGTCGACGATTATCTCTATCATTTCGATCGCATTGGCAAAAACAATACATATCGCTGGCTCTGCAATCGGCGCAAGGATAAGGTGACGCCCTGTCGCTCCCGCATCTCGACCATGATGCCCGACTCCATGGACAAGACGACGCACGTCGTCGTCGATGTCATCCAGGAGCACGTGCATCCGCGCTGCAGCGATCACGAAATCACAAAAGTCACCCAACGCAAGCGTCTCTCCAACATGAAAATGAACGACGCCTACAGCACCACACAGCCGAAACGAGCCCGTTTGTACGAACGGGCAACGGCGGGTCTGAATCCACCCGAATGGATCAGCACCAACAGAGATAGCGAGTCAATCAATGAATACTCCTTTCACCTGGACTTTGAGGTGTGGTCCCTTTCTATTCGGCATTTGCATTTGCATAAACTGCCCCAACTTATATGCTAATTAACTTAACTAGCCATTACCGTTCTGCCTGTTTATATTTGAACTATTTTCTGACCCCATAAATTATTTATATGAATAGTGTATATTCTATGCGAGTTTTAAAATTATCTTCACGAAACATGAAAGATATCCGATATAAAAAAAGATATTCTATTCTGGTTTTAAATAATAAGGAAATTGAGATGAGATACAGGTAGACTTTAGTTTGTCCCAGCCGAATAGAAAATATGTTAATAACATATGATAAAAGACAATATATTATTTTATGTATAGAAATATAAATTATAATTATAGAATAATATTTAGAACTTGTTAACATTGCTTATATTTATAGAATTATATGTCTGCCCCTAATTGCAAGCTAATAATCAAAGAACAAAACTGACGCATATCAATCAATTTGTGGGTGCATTTCACGCCAAACCTGACTCCAAATATATACAAAATACAGCAGAGAAATGTTAAACTTCAGTCGCACAAACGGCTTCCCAGGAATCCGCGCCTTAACCGGCTATTGGCTGGTCGGCACTCAAGCCACTCAAGACTCCTGGGACCCTATCATGATTTCTGCAGAGGCTGTAATAAATGCGAAAAAGTGGATCCAGCCGAACACTTCTTTCGCACCTTGCCGCCAGTTGCCAGGAAATAAGAAGTCTCTTTCTAACCGATCGCAACTGGCTGTAGCTTTAAATCAGTCGCCCACTGGTATCAACAAATTGAGTAAATTGACAATCTTCTAACCTAACCCAGCATATTTCAGAAACATTGTGCCACCTCATAATCACAATCTTTTGGTTTGCTTTTTAAAAAAATATAAATGTAGTCCTATCAATTTTCAACATAAAACCAATCTCACAAAGTAATATATTTAAAAAAAAAAACGTATTTGTATGCTAAGAACCTTTTAAACGATCTTTAAACAATATCTGCACATAAATTAACAATTGAACAATCCTTTGGCTTTTGTAGGACAAGGATCGGGTTTATATGATGCGTCGTCGCGATGGACGTGTGATGGTCTGTATCGATGGTCATTTGTATTATCTGGCGGGGAAGTCGTACAAGGGCAGCATATACCGTTGGACGTGTGTGCGGAAACGGGACATTGAGTGCACCGCCAAGATCTGTACGGAGGCGACGCTGGCTGGTGCACATCGGCTGCATGTGATGGAGACGGATGCGCATATACATCCGCACTATTCGGCCGATAAGCTAATGCAAATGTTCTCCAGGCATCAGATACTGCTCGTCGACGATGAGCAGACGGTTGAGGTGCTCCAAGAGTGCCCCAACTTGGAGTACTTTGATCCCGATATCAGTTCGGAGTCACAAAGAGGCGCTGATGATGACACGTCCATTATTATTGAAGACTGCGAGGAGAACTACGAGGTGTACGTAAATATGGAAGGCGAAACAGCCGGCGAGACTGTGCTCCCCGATCAGGATCAGGGGCAACAGCAGCAGGAGACGACATCGATGGTAGATGACGAAATCAAATGGCCAACTGCCGTGGATATCATTGATCATTATGTGGCACCCGCTGACTATGATCCACTCAGCGAAACCGATCTGACCAAGTTCACATTCCTGCCATCGGCAAAGGGTCGCCGTGTGCTCTGCTTGGATCGGCATCTCTTTCACTTTGACTCGCAGAGTCGCTCCAATGGCCACATGTTCTTTACGTGCATAATGCGGCGCGATAAGCAGCAAATCTGTCACGTGCGCGTCACCATGAATCCCGTCGAGAACGGGCTGGAGGTGTTGCGCATCAATGGTGAGCATACGCACAAGCCCGATCTGCAGGAGATAATGCGTCGCATCAAGCAACAAAAGCAACAGGAGAAGCTCCAATCGGTGACCAAGACTGGCGACCTCAAGCCGGAGCAGCCATCACTTGGCAGTGGCAATGAGGACATTGAATTCGAGAGTCAAGATGAGGAGGACGAGCACGAAGCAATTACTCAGCACGAGAGCAGCTATGAGAATCTGAAGGATCACTCGTCATCCTCCGCGGAACGGAATGTGGTCATGAAAAAGGTCATTGGCATCGATGGCATCAAACTGGAGCCGGAGCAGTCCAAGGCCGCTCCAATGATTGTGCAGTATTTGAACGATGGAGCGGACAACATTAGCGCCCAAATTGAGATACTATCCACGGATCAGCCCTGCACATCTACGTCGAAGCCGCAACTGACCAATTTGCGCAAGCGTCGCACGAATCCACAGCAGGCGCTGAACACCACACAGACGCCAACGGTGCCCTCCGACATGGATCTGACCAAAATCTGCACTCTCCGCTCGGCGAAGGGCAGCGAAATGCTTTGCGTCGATGGTTACATCTATCATGCAAAGAATCGTGGCCTTATCTCACGCAATTATTGGGTGTGCATCAAAAGCCGTGACTCGGAGATCAATTGTAAGAGTCGCATATCGACAGCTACTCAAAAAGATGGCTCCATTCGCGTTCTGCGCGTCTACAACAGTCACAGTCATCCGTACAGCGAGGATGACATCAAACGGCGGCTCTTCAACGAGATCAACAAGAAGAACAATAAGAAGCTGAAATTCCGGCCGTTGCATTTCATTGGCAAATCCCTGGAGCAAATCAAGCAGGAGTATGGTGATCTGGCCGTCGAGCGGCTCAACGTATCCAATCTGACCGATGGCATCGTTGTCCACAAGAAGCCACGCAACAGCAGCAGTAACTCAACGGCATTCACAGTTGCAACAACAGCAAGCAGAAACAAGCAGCGGGGTGAGGAGCTGCTTGTTGCCACGCAAAAACTGCAGCCACACGAGGCGCAAGAGCACGAACAGCACTACTTTGACGAGGACGTTGTCGTCGAGGAGGAGGAGGAAGGCGAAGATGTGGCCTTAAACGAGGACAGTCAGTTTATGACCGTTGAGGAGGACAACACGGATGCGATTATCGAAGTGGTCGAAGAAGTGGCTGAAATGGAACACTATGGCACCATTGAGTGAGTACAGTTACAGTCAAGCCTCCCTATAAAGAAGACTAGCAAATCGCTTTATTACACTCGGAGAAAAATTCGAACTGGCCAAAAGTAACTCAGCTAGTTACTCTGAAAGTATATTTTTCAGATTGTAAATTATTAAAAAAATATTTAAATTCTTAGGGTGCGTTTTCATATGTGTAAAAACAACTCTAAAATTAGCTTTTTCTAGCGGATTTCTAAAATTCATGTGTGCATATCAAATCAAATATAACAGGATAGTTATTAATATTGTTCAAGAATCGTTAAATTTTAAATTTCTTTAAAATGTTTAGATTTTCTTAAATTCTGAAATTATTATTATCTATAATTTAGAATTATCCCAGAAAATAAATAGTTCGAATGCTGCAAAACAAGAATTATATTGGGGTTAAACAGAACAGCAAAAAATTAAAATAAATATAAAACCAATTAGAAATGCTATCAAAATCGAAGTTATGGCTAAACGATAAGATTAGATAACATAATTACAGGTAATTTAGACGTCGACTAAGCACAAGTTTGTCATTTGTGAATGTTGTGCAGATATTCAAAACCCAAATCGGTTTAGGTATTCAACATCAGTCGAGTTTAAGCTTTGCGCCTGCGCAGTTCGATTATTTGCCGAGCGAGAGTCAATCTAATTGGGTAATTGCTGAGTTATTAAAAATAAAATAACAAAACTCAACGCATATATGACGACAACCACAAAAAAAAAATATACAGCAGAAGAAAAAATGCAAAACTAAAACTTATCCTAAAATAGATACACCATATTTTTACATACACATTTGTGGCTAGTGAAAAAAACTCACTTGTTGGCCAGCAGCGAAAGCGAAACCGGTTCGACTAGACACAAATACTCATTTGCAATCACTTTTTGTTGGCTTTTTTGTACACTTTCGAATAGGCCAATTTACACGATGAAATTGTACGCCGTATCCGATGGACCGCCCTCGTTGGCCGTACGCATGACCCTCAAGGCGCTGGACATACAATATCAGCTCATCAATGTGGACTTCTGTGCGCTGGAGCATCGCACCGAGGACTATGCAAAGGTGGGCGACATAAATAAGCCATCAAATTGTTTTATCTAATTGTGTTTCAATACTACGCAGCTGAATCCGCAGAAGGAGATACCTGTGCTAGACGACGAAGGCTTTCATCTGTCAGAGAGCATTGCGATTATGCAATATCTGTGCGATAAATATGCACCGCTATCGACCCTGTATCCCGAGGATCCCAATGAGAGGGCATTGGTCAATCAACGTTTGTGCTTTAACATGAACTTCTACTATGCCCCCATCTCGGCACACAGTATGGCGCCCATCTTCTTTGCGTACGAGCGCACGCCGATGTCCCTGAAGAAGGTGGAGAACGCGCTGGATGTGTTTGAGACGTATCTGCAGCGTTTGGGCACCAAATATGCGGCTAGTGACAATGTGACCATTGCTGACTTTGCCCTGGTATCGTCGACACTCTGCCTGGAGGCGATTGACTTCGATTTGACGTCATATCCACTGGTGCAGAAATGGTACGCCACATTCAAGGCAGAGTATCCGAATTTGTGGCAGATCGCCAACAGCGGCATGCAGGAGATAAATGCCTTCGAGCATAATCCCCCAGATCTGTCCCAAATGGACCATCCCTTCCATCCCACCCGTAAATCCAAGGCCTAAGTCTACGGGTCGAATTTATTTTAGTTTTAAGTTCATAAGCAGCATTTATGCCAGCAATTATTAATTGTCATATATATACATATATATTTGTGGATACTTTCAAATAACACAACACGGTTTTTTGTGTCCCATTATTTTTTCTTGCTTGTAAACACTTTACACAGAATAAAAACAAGTTTAAAAAAAAATTATATACAGGAGTAATTATTCTGGGCTTGGGTATATATTCTAGCCTATCCTGCGTGCATCACTTGAAATATCACTCAATTAGTGACAGATATATAATCTTCTATTAACTATATAACTTAATGCATCCGCCCATAAATAAAAACACTTGACTCACCTAAAATCCTCGATGAGCGAACCAATAGCTTCGGTCAATTTGCGATATTTCTCGCCAAATGCTGTGCCAATGGTCAACTCGCCCATTAGATTGTGTGTATCTGGCTCCAAATACAGTTCGAGCTGTTTGCGCGCCTCTGTGCTCAACAGATCCACTTTGGTCAACACATTCACATGCGATTGCTCCATGTTGGCCATGACGCTGAGCGCTGCCATTGTGCCCGATATAAACTTGGCGCCATCCACCATGAACTGTGAATCCAAGCAGAAGACGACGCAAGTGCGAAAGTTCCACGACTCGAGCAGTTGCACCAACTGTTTTCCCATCTTGAGATGTGTGAATAGCTCGATTTGTCCAGGCATATCGAACAGAATGTAATCGTCGTCGGGTTCGCCGAGCATCAGTTCATCTTCACCGCCGCAGAGTTGGGCCTTGAGCCAGTCCTGGTTTTCGATGAGGAACTCCAGGCAAAAGATCAAACCACCATTGGGGCCGTAGTGGAGTTCCTCATCCTCCATTGCATCGTCCAAGTGGATGAGCTCTCGTATGTCCGCCAGTGGCGAATAATTAAAGTGCTCCGCCGCTGGATCCAAATTCACAACCTGAATATTTCTTTTGCTGTCCATGGCATGTTGCTGCATAAAGCTGCAATATGTTGACTAACAAAGCATATGTGATAATTCGTCGATGTTTAATGGGGATATTACATACCTTTCCACTGCCAGCAGGGCCAACAATTATTTGTGCGAAACGCATTTTAACTTTTGCTTACAATTTAAAATGAAAATAAACACATTTTCGCGTGCGGTCTCTCCAGTGTTGGAGGGTGCCGTTAAAAAAAAAGCGTTGATGCGCTTTTGGCGCATGCGTTTGGGTGGCAACGCCGCGACACGCTTTTCTACAGATTTGAATTATAGGGTGACCAGATTTTCAGCGTACAGCTGTTGAGTTAATTAAATCGAAGATTTAACTACAAACAGCATATAAACAAAAATGCGACTCGTTAATTTACATATGATCAGATTGATTTATCAAAACGTTCAATCACACACCAAAGTTGCGGCCACCCTGCTTAGGCTAAGCCTAATTGCTGATAAACATCTAAATTGTGCTACCAAACGAACACACGCGTCACAACGAACAAAACGACAGCTGTCCATCTAAGGACGATTGTCCTTGCATTGGGCATGACAATCATAATGATTTTTTAAATGCCACGCTTGCAGCAAAACTATAACGCTTAAAAATAATAATAAATTCCCTTTCTCAATTTTTTTACAAAAAAAAATTTGTCGTATTTGCTCTGCGTGTGCATGTCGGAAGACCGGAAATAATTTTCTAGTTGCACTCGCGAACCCCAGTTGAACGAACACCCACCCCCAGAACTGCACTTGTGCCTTATGATTGTGTTGTCTGTTCCATTTTACTTCTCTATATTTTTTTTTTTAATGATATCGGCGACAGGGACCGCCACCAGGTGTTCAATAATATATTGTGCTGATAAGTACATAATTTTGTTGTAAATTGCGCCTTTTGGCCTCGTCGCTTGAACTGCAACGGCCGAAAATTAAAGGTTCGATGCGGTGTAGGGTTATACCCTTATACTCAAATATATATGAATTTCTTGAAAATACTTCTACTATTTACTTTTTTTAGTTAAGGGTTATGCAATATTCGGCATTTTCGCAAAAAAAAATATTTTTGCTTATAGATTTTAAGATAGTCAAAAAAATATTTGAAATAAATAAAGTATAAGAGTATAATAGTCAACTTTAATAAAAAGTACTAAAAAAGAAAGATAATAGATTTGATCAAAATATTAGCAATATACAAAATCGTGCTCTACAAATTTTAAAAAGTTGTATTAATTATTTTCAGAACTTTTGATATGAAAGATTAATAAATTATTTTCTCAGGATATTGTAAAGTTATTTTTGAACCTAAACTGCCCGTTGTATTGAATGGTATTTTTTCAAATATTTGGACTGAACGAGATACATGTCGTTATCGTAATTCTTTGAAATAATCGTAAACTTGGTTCATTTTTAATTTAATTTAATTTATTTATTGTTAAACTAAATTACTAAGTATAACATTTAGATATTAGCAAACTTAGAGCAATTAAATACCACAGAACATGTTGTTTTTTTTTATAATATTTTAAAATTGGAATATTTGTATATATGTATGTATTGTATTTTTAGTAATGGTGCCACTACATGCTGTTGACTAGCAAGCCTGACTAGTTGAGAAATATCCATTGCGAATTGAAGAACACTCTCTTAAAGACCGCTTCCGCTGCCAAAGATGCTCGCTGCAGCGCCAGCATCGCTGATATCGCCACTGACACTGAAATCTTCGCTGCTCTGATTGCTGTTGTGATTTTGACTAGAATTTGGGCTGCTGCCTGTCTTTGCAGTGGTGTTGCTGGTGTACAGCGACTGAGCATGCTGTTGGTTGTTGCATGCCCCATTGGGATCATCCGGTGTCCAAGTGCGTGCGTAAAGCTTGCTTCCCGGATAGCGATCACCCTTGCGATACCACGACAACGAATGCGACATTCCGCCGGCTAAAAATAAAAACATAGAAGAAAAAATACAATCATAAGCACATATTTTCATTCTATGAAAGAGTTTTAAGTCAAAATCGTCAAGGATTCGGATCTCATTCTGTCAGCAAACATTTTTCGTCTATTGCTTTTTATGTCGAAAGTGAAACACTTTTAAGGATACAGTAGAGGCTCACAGAATAGAACTGTCACGTAACCCTCAAAAGTGTCTGCTTACATACACTGAAAGTTGTTAAATTTAAGCTGTTAGCTTTAATTTTCATTTTAAATCTAAAATCCACGCTATAAATGCCACACAAAATATTTGTTATTGCAAAAAGAAGGTTTCGTTTAAAACTAAACATATGACCAATATTATGAGCCTCCCAAGAACAATAAGAAATAAATATTACACATATTCTAATATGAAAATTTATGAAACATTCTTGAAGAAACCTAATAAAAATAAATTACAGCTCCAAAATAAAGTGTTAATGTTCATGTTTTCAGTTTCGGTATTCTGTCTATTCAAAAGAAAGTCAAGCGCCGCCCAGTCAATTAAAATTGTTGCCAAATACTGAGCAAATGCCATTAGCGGGCACATTACAAGGACATCAGCAGGAGCAGAGCAAACAAACAGCAAAGGGTTTGTAGCATTCGAGGGGTTCGCCTTCCCCATTTGACATTTTGTTGTTGCAGCTGCCCGCCTGCTGTGTGTATATGTGTGTGTGGCACACCATTTGTCTTGAACAAACACAAAATCCCAAGCACAAATCCTCCCCCGCTGCCCGCTCTTAATGCTGCGTCCAATCAGCTTGCACCCAGGATAGCATCCCATTCCATTCCCTTCCAATCTGAAGTTTGGTAATTTGTAGCGCACACTGTTTTCGAGTATTTCGTGCGGGTGTTGCTCAAATATGTGGCTTGCCACCCCATAAGGCAACCACACACAGCTTCCCACTCCAACACAGCAAAAATAAATCATTTTTCAAAAAATATGAAAATTTCAGGAAAATTATTCAAACCGGCTAAGACATTCTACAAATAAGCCAAAACTTCTACAAGTAACAAAAATTATTACTTCAGTTTGGAGAAAATACGTATTTGGGGGATAGAAACTCTATTTTTTTTTTAGAAAATAATTTAATATTATCATCTTCTTATGCCGATTTTGTTCTTGAACTATTTTTAATATTTACACTATATTTAATATGTGTCAAGCATTTATTTAAATTGTAGAAAATTATTAAAAAACTGTTTTAAAATAAACTAATATTATCTTCATTTCAAAAATAGTTTAGAATTATTCTATTTTTATTTTAAGGAAAGTTTAATTTAAATTAATTACTTAAGATTATCGTCTTCACCTGTAGATTTTGTTCGCGAATTTTTTAAAATTATTTTCTTAATTCACGCATTTATTTAAATTATATAAATAAAACCACTTACAACAAATGCGTTAAAATTTTATTGAAATTGTGTAAATATTTATATTAACTTTAGAAATGTATTTATTTTCATCATTTTATGTAAAATCTGTTCATCTTTTATGGAATTTCTATGACACAAAATCTATCCAGTTATTGAATTAACTGATGTAAAATTTCATCAATTGGATTTACATATTTTCCTAAGTGCATCCACCCACTCAACTACTCCGTCAACGTGCATCATCTTGGTGTGAACATATGCCAGGCGCGTGCAGCCAAATCTCTCGAATCCAAACCAATTGCAACCATTTAAATGGGCGTGTTGTCTTTGCCCCCAACTTTCATTTTGTGGAGCGTGGAGGGGGTTTTTGCGATTTTTATCTATTTCTTTTTGTTTCTGTGTTTTTCTGTTTTTGTGCTGAACATTTTTAATGCCCGTTAAGCATGAAAACGCTTTTGCCAACCAACCACACACTCCCCAATTTCCCAGGACCCCTCCCACCCCCCGCCCCACCTCTCCACCCCAGCTCTCCTATCTCTTTGGCCTCAGTTGCCCTTCAACAGGACCCATGGAATCGTTTTCCGCTGGCGACAGCCAACATCTGCTGGAGTGTAACGAATTTCTCACGATATGATTATGTCGATTGCGCTTTGTTGTTGTTGTTTGTGTTTTTGTTGTTGTTATTGTTGCTACTTTGTTGTTCCCCATGTCAATTGTAATGTGTCTGTGTATGTATCTCGTAGAAGTGGGAGTTGGTAGTTGTGCAAGGTGTATGTCATGTTGGATTTTATCAAACAAATTATGTGTTTTTTTTTCTTGTTTTTTTGTTAACAATATTTTACTAAGGATTTGTTGTGGGGCTTTTTGTGGAGCTGCACACTAAATAAATGAGAAATGTTCTGTTTTTTTCTAGTTGGCTGAAACTTTGCATGATCATTAAATAACACGGTTCGTGTCTTTCTGTAACTATTTGTCATTATTTTATGAGTATTTTGAAGGAATGTGGAAATTCTTTTAGCCTCCTAATATTAAAATAAGAACATATCATACAGTTTTTATACAGTTACGATAAAAAAAACAATCAATTAGTAAAAAAAAGTGCATGCATTCAGAGACAATTGAATGGAATAAACTGCTCCGATTGCCGTTAAATATATTGGAAATATCTATTATAAATTAAATATCTAACCATCAGGTTATAAAAATCAATTAAATTTCGTAATCTACTTTGAAAAGTTAATAAGGAAAATCAAGGAACCCTACAACAACAATGTAATCCATTTTAAACTACGTACTTAATGCTCAAAATGTAAAAAAAATTATATAAATAGCTTGGATTTCTAGGTATTCAACATTTTGAGTGTTACTTTCTCTTATATTTATAAAAGTAGATCTTAATTGCAATGCGCTGAATATTTCTGATACACAAAACAAGCTCACCATTTAATGAGTACATATTATTTAAGCCGATAAATTGTAACTCCACTTATTCTGTTATTCCCATATGAGACTGTAAATATTCCCTCAAGTGCATATAAAGGGGTAGACCATATCACTTAACCAGGTATTCACTATAGCCAAACAAGTTCGTAACCCTAGTCTAACCAGTATTAATTTCTGTTGTGACACTCAAACTCTAAAAAATATGAAAAAAAAGCAACTCAAAAATACAGCAAATCATTCAAAATTAAATTTACAAATGCCCCTAGTGATATATATATATATATATATTTGAGTATATTCACAACACCCTTTGGCAGACCAAGTGGGTTGGCTATTAGTTATGCAGATGCCTTGCACAGATCAGGATGCTATCTCTCTCTCTCTCTCTCTCTCTCTCTCTCTCTCTCTCTCTCTCTCTCTCTCTCTCTCTCTATCCCTCTCTCTCTCTCTCTCTCTCTCTCTCTCCCTCTCTCTCTCTCTCTCTGTCTTTGCAGGCAGTTGCAGTGTCATACATTTTGAATAGAAAAATTATTAACCAAAAAACCGTAACTAAAGCTACTTTTATGAGCTGGCGCACGGAAACCCTTAATCCATTGTCCCATCCTTCCTCCGCCCCTCCAGACAAACTCATGAAAAACGTTTCCGTATCCGTGGCAGGGAAACAACGAACTGTTCCCGTGATCGATGCGACGGCAATGAGCAAAACAATTTGCTTGACTGGCAGTCACGCAAAGCCCGCAAAGCGAAGCGGGCGAGAAGTGTGAAAATTCTAATTAGTTACACTTAGGCAGACGAAGCAGAAGCAGCAGCAGCAGCCACAGCCACAGCAACATCAGCAGCCTTACCAGGATACCACCAGACAGCAACTCAACCCAGCAACCCTCACGCACAAACAGAGACAGTCGACAATCGACCATCTAATGGAATAAACCGCTTCGATGGCCTTTAAATATATGCAACGCACCAAGTCCAGCTGAATTATGTTATTAAATGTAGTTCTGGTGCTGAGTTGAGCCCGCTGACCGCCCACAACAATATGATTGATGGCTGATTGATTGACAACTTACTGCGATCCTTAAGTATGATTTTCTTGGGCGGCTCCTTTTGGTAATTGCGCTGCAAGCTCAGCCCAGCTTCGTTGCCGTTCTTGTCCTTCTTGACCATTTCGCTCAGAAAGGTTATATAACTAATAGCTAGCTTCAGCGTATCGACCTAAATAAATAAATAAAAGGGTTAGGGTAATAGGATTGCAAGTTTTAAAAAATATACTAAATATATATTTAGAAAATCGTATTCAGTATTTTTAGATTTACTGATATTTTATTAATTATACAGTTCTTTAACAAGGCGAATAGTTATTATTTTTGTAAGTCCTATTTCCCACGAAAGGTGTGCTCAAAAGTACGATGTTCAAATAAGTTTAAACTAAACTATCAAATTAAAAAAAAAATTTTTCAAGGCATTGAAAATAACAATTCAAGATTTTATATATCCTTCTATATATCCTTCCTAAAATTGCGATTTAGGTTTTATATTGATAACTTTTAAATTATGTTTTTGTTTTGTACTAAAAAACCTTTTCCTTTGTAAAATAATTGCATTTATGCAATTTAAATTCAATGTTAAGCAGTATAAATAAATTCATAAATCAAGAAATTGTCAAACATTTACAAATTTAAATACTGCTCTAGTATTATAATAATACAAATCGACTTGCTGGCTATTTACACAAATTACTTTTTACCCAAATAGCTGACCGGCCATTTCTCACCCACCATATCTTTGAGTAGTCAGTCCTGAAAAATCATTAATAAATATACAATAAAACGTCTACTATTATTTTCAAATTTTAAATGCACCGCATTTAGACATTCTTATTGCATGACAAAATAATTATATCAATTTCAAAATATATTGACTTGATTATTTTGGCATATAATCGATTACGTTTGAAAAAGATAGAAAAAGAAAAGGATTTATTTATATAGATAATCATATATATTTATCAGTAATCGCTCAGAACGTGTATAAAAAGATTTATTAAAACCCATTAAAACTGAATTTATGACGAGAACAAAAGCAAATTTGTCATATTGTTTTTAACAATAAATATAACACTATCTATATGCTCTGGATAATGATTAGAAATGCTCACCTTGCTTAAGCGTTTCTCGTAGGGCAATGTTGGTATATGGGTGCGGAGTCCCTCGAACGCTTCATTGATGCTCTGCATGCGTCGTCGCTCCCTCAAATTAGCTGCCTGTCGCTGCTGGGCCATTTGGGAGGCGCACTTCAAGCGACGAGGCTTGTGACTGCGCCGTCTAAACATAAACAGAGAATAGCTGCAATCGATTATTATCGGAGCATCCAAGCTGAATCCATTCTATGATTGGGGGCACTCACGTCTTTTCGTTGTTCTCCTGGTCGCTGTTGAAACCACTGCTGTAGGCATCATCGTCGTCGTCGCTCTCCGAGCTGTGCTCATCTCCGAAAAAGTACTCGGAACTGGAGTTGGAGGCATTGGTTGCCTGCGATCCTTCAAAGAAGTGCCGAGCCATTGTGGCCTCCAAGTCAAAGTTGTCCATGGAAAACATTTTACATTAAATGCTCTTTTTATTTGTTGTACAATATCTGCTTAAATATTGTTATATTGCCGCATAACGGTAAACGGAACGCCTCCGTTTATAAATCTGATTGGCGAAACGTGTTCAGCACGTGTCGCCAAGCGGATCTTTTGTCCTTTGTGTGTGCGGCAAGTGCGGCACGTGTCGTCAATTTTGACTCTTGATTTGCAGCACCCTGTAAAAAAGACATACAAATTGATTTCGATGGTTCCTTCATTTATGTAAATACATTGTGGCCTTATCAGGTTCGGGTGATGTGCTAAGTAATTGTTGAGTTGTTGATTTGATAATAAACATGTTTAACATACGACTAAATTCGATAAGATAAGGCATTGATAGTGTTTCGGACAGACGACGGTTAGTTTGATATAGACTTATAGGATCAGTGAACTTTATTACAGAAAAAACACATTTCAAAAGTCAAAGTCATATTTAATAAATCAAATTTCATTATGCTTAACAACTTATCAAGGATTTGTCCTGATGCATATATATAATAAATACAAGGAGTGTCTGATTTTGAAAAGTATTATATATCGCGTAGGTTATGTATTCCCATAATGGGAACAATATACATTTTTGCATTTAAAGTTGAACCATTATATATTTGACAATTCAAATCTCAATATTCTCTTATAATAAAGAGTTACCGAGGCTTTATCCTGAAACATGTATTTACAGAATAGCTTTGATTTATTATATTATGTATTCCCACAATGGTTTACAACAATATACATTTTATAAAGTTTCAAAGTTTCTTTATATGTGTGCTTAATGGATTCTTCAGCTCTGCTTGTTTTGATCGATGTATACTCTAAATTGAGTCTGCCCTTTCATAAGTGTCTTTAATAACTTTATTCTTAATAGATTTATAAACATTTTTCTTGATCAGCAGCAAATATCTTGACGATATGGTTCTATGTATTTCCCACAGTATTCCATATTTTCGGAATATATCCAGTTAGCAGTGTTTATGCCGATCGCATAAGCACACTGTATAATATGGGTCGCATAGCTAAAATCGATTTTTGAGTAGTATTTTGAAATGAATTTGGTTGTATTACTAGATCACTATAAGATAACAAATATCAGGTTAATAAATTAAACATATGATATATGACAGAGATAATAATACTTTCTTATTAAAGTTACTCGGAGCTTATTCAATTTAATTATTAAAAACGCAATCTCCTATGGATAGGTTAATAACTAGGGAAAATTGTTTTGTCGATTAAAAAAATAACAAATTTGAATTTAATGTAAATAACTTCTTTCTTTTTTTGCATAATGCAAAATAAAACCGAAACTATCATACAGTTGTGCTCTTATGGCTCTGCAAGAATACATAAATTTATACAGAAATTTCAGAACTTTGACTAATTGAATACAATCTTTAAACCTTACAGCGAATATACGCCGCCGGTATTCCAGTTAGAATATTGACATCAGTTAGTTTACCTTTTTCAACTGTTTCTATCCAATATCCACAGTTTTAATATAATACACAAATTTCGGTATTCATAGAAATTGCACATAAAAAATTGTAGTTTTGAACTTTCAAAATACAGCAACTGCAGTCAATTCGAGATAGCGATTCGAAAAGACATAATTGTCTTCACATTAAAGCGCGATTTGGTAGCGAACGCGCCGACAGCTAAGAACCGAATGACAATGCCCGGGTCCGGGTCCGGGCGAAGGATACGTGTGATAAGAGCTAAACTCAGGGGTTGCAGCTCCTGGCACGGATAACGTACAGCAAAGTTGTCTATCATAGCAGTGATGGCGTTACCACATCAAACGAAAAGGCATTGCCAAATGGGCGGAGTCCGCACCGCTTGCCAGCCAATCAGCGTCGAGCAGTCGAAAGTTGCGACTCTGCAGGGTTGCATTTTGGTGGTGTTATAAGCTTATTAAGTTTGAGTTTTGGGTGGCCAGGGTGTGAAATATATATATATATATATAAATATGTACGGTTGTGTCTGATTTTCATATGGTGTTGCACACACATTAAATTGTTCTTTGATTTCAAACGCGTTTATCTGTTTAAGCGGAATTATTGCCCGAGTGGCAATCAAGTGGCGTGCAACGAGTATATTGTTTAACTATGGACTTGCCAGCAAGTGCGCTGCTGGATTCGTTTAGGGGTTGGGGCTATGGATTTAGATTGGGAATTGATAGGGAATAGACAGCTGCAAGATTGTGTCTCTGCACTTATGGCATAAGCAAGAGTTAATGATTGTCTTGAGCAGTGTCTAAGCCTAATTAATGGTTTGGTGGCAACCAAACAAAGACCTCAAAAAACAACCTAAATGACAGGCAGCTTAAAAGAAATTTGTCAACCAGCATAATTTTAAGGCATTAGCAAAGCACGAAGACAAATGCAAATATTTGCATTGTCTGCGATTCGGCTTCGCTTCGAACCAACAACTCCATTAAAATGCGTCTGCTGCAAGAATATCTGCTGCATATTTCAAGGCGCAAACAAACAACGCAGACAGGGGTGTCAAAATATGCGAGATCCTCTGCTAACACTAGCTAACAATCATCCCAAGCATATATTCACTATCACTACACTAAGAAAAAAGATAGTATATCTTAGCGTTTAGCCAGAAATGGAATTTATTTTTATTATTCAGAATAATAGTACACTTTTTCCTAAATTCAAATAAATTGGATTGAATTAGAAAACCAACATTTCTGCTTTTTAGAGATAACTTTTACATTTAATTTCGCAAAATCTTGAAACTCTGATTATTTACTTTTAATCATTCTGCAATTTAGAAATAATAACCTTGTTGAAAAAAATTGTTACAAAACAAGCAGACTGCTTTTGGCACAACTAATTTTCTAAGTGCACCCGTACCCCAGTGCCAGGATACGCCTTCCCTTCGCGCTCAGGGCAGACGTTGTTTGTTGTCCTTTTTCCCTGTCTGTCTGTTGCTGCCACTGCCCCTGATGACTGCCGATTGCCGACTGCCTCATCATCATCGGAGGGCAACGATGACGACACGGCGAACTCACTAAGGCTACCCATGATAAACAAATTGTTTTGGCTCTCCATCTATTCGATGTTGTTTTGTTGTTTTCATTGCAAGCGCTGCTCGTTTTGTGCAGCTGTATAAACAAATTAGTTTTCAATTTGATCAAGTTGTTGCCTAGTGGCAACCAGTTAACATCCGATTGCATTTATGGACATCAGTTAGACAGCAGACCCTATAATGGACTTTACCTGAATAGGCATATTAATATACAATTTTCATAATCGTTTCTCGTTTGGAATGTCGACTAGAAAGGATTGTTCTGTTTAATTTATATAAATCATAGCATAATAGCGATATAAATAGGTAAATTAAATCATTTGATGTACATTTGCTTCTTGTTATGTATTTAATATACATCTTTTAGCTCTCTTTTTTATAGCTAACTTGTTATATATTTAAATTCCTTCCAGCAGCAAGCAAAAAACATATTTTTATTTGTATGTTATAATTGTATTTATGTTTAAGATAAATAAATAACTGCATTAAAAATTGCTATAATTTTCAAATGCCATAATAATTATAATATGGTATATTATATAATAATTTAATGTAATTTTATTTTATATTTACAAAATATACAATTTTAGCATAGTTTTTTAATCGAAGGATCATTTTTTAAATGAAAAATTGCCTTTCAGAATTATATAAATGATATTAATCTGTTCAAATAAACACATAAAAATAGTTTATTTACTATTTTAATGTTACAATATTCGAGAAAATACAACGGAAAATAATTTAAAGTATACAACACCTGCTAGTTTTTTCCCCAAAAGTTTTACTATATAATTAAAGCTCGAGTTAATTAAGTAGTAGCTGGAAGCTACCATACTCTGGTAGATACCAAGATGTGAATTATGCACACGTCATATAGCACAATCAAGCGTAACCGCCTCTACATACTTATATATGAGAACTTACCCTATCTAAGGTCGATCCCTATATCATTCATTACACGCAATTGCCTGCGAGGGGGAAAGGGGTTGGCTCAACCTCAACGCATTGTCATTTTGCACAACGATTTTCAATTCGTTTTTTTTTTTATTATTATTCGAATTCTAATTAAAAACCAAAATGTATTGTTGAGGTAGACAACCAAACTGGGCAAACGGGGCGCTGTGAAATGCTTATCACACTGCTGTCCATGTCCCTTTCCGTGCCCCTTTCCCTGCTGATCCTTGTCTACGTTCATCCACAGTGTTGACACTGAGCATTAAGGCTGGCGAAATCCTCTTGAGTGCATGCCTCGCCGAGTACTCGATGTGTGGATTGTGTGTAAATTTTAATCTCATTTGAAAAGTTTCAGTTTTTTCCAACGTTTCTTATGTAAAGTGCAAAAATTGAAATCAACAATGGGCTTTATGAAGGGTTGGCCCCGGCATTAGCAGCTACTTTTAATTCTGCTGGCCTACTTAATCCGTAGGGTACCTTTTCAAGCCTTCAAAAATTACTAAGGGTAGCAGCACATGCATCTAATATCTATAAATAAACTTTGCTCTTAAATCAGTCATCCCACTCTCAAAAAAGCAAGTGCATTTTTAAAATGTACCGAACTTTGAAAATGTAAAACTTAAGGTTTTAAATAAATAGAGAAATTATTTTGCTGGGAACAGATATAAAATGTTGTAGTTGAATAGTAAAAAGTTCATTGCAAGATACTTTTATTTAAGTCATATTAATATCAATAAATAAATTTTGCAATTAAATCAGACTTACTACACTAATTTTTGGGAAGTGAGCTTATAAAACTCACGAGAGGAATTTAAAAAATGTACAAATTCACTATATTTGTAATTAAGTTTTGGCTTATAAGAATGCAAGTATACAATAATAATTACATTAATTTGCTTGATCTAGAAGCTATTAATCCCAGTTATTCAAGTGTTTTGCTAAATATATTTAACAAATATTAAAAAAAAAAATGTATTGTTTAATTTAACATTACCCATAAAAACCTATACAAATAATATACATTTTGCAACGCAGAAATGAAAATCAATATTGACATACGTATGTCTGTTCCAATGTTAACATAAGGGGCCCAATTCTGTTAATAAAATATGTTAACATACCATATAATTTTAACATAAATTGAAAGCAGAAAGTTTGGCATTTGCTTAAGTGCACATAAGTGAACACTTCCATAGAAGGCGTCGGTGGTGTAATGGTTAGCATAGTTGCCTTCCAAGCAGTTGACCCGGGTTCGATTCCCGGCCGACGCACATCTAACTTTTTTGTATTAAAAACTCTTTTTTTAAATTTTATTTCGAATCAAGTTTATTTTTACAATTTGTACCCAAGAAAATCACATACTACATTAATCTTTTAAGCCAACAATAAGTCAATATATTATACATTGTGCAATAAAGTGAATTAGTTTAATTTTTCTACAATTTGTACATAGCTAATTCACTAAATTTGTGCTGGGGTCCAATGCGTTCATCGAAGCGTTTCCCATTAAATTCAAACTCCGTGTAAGGCGTCTTGTTGAGCACCTTAAAACCCACCGCTTTTCCAATATTGTGGGTAAATTCGGAGGTCCACAAAGCATTGACTGCCGCTGGTCGCTTATCCCGCAACTCCTCAGCCACATTCTCCAATGCATGACCACCCTGCAGGATGTCACGCGACAGCTCAATGGTGTATTTAGTCAGAGTTGTACCCAAGCCGAGGCGTCCAAATTCCGGCAGAGTGGCCAAAAACATTAGCTCACAAACGCAATCCATATTGTAATCGGCCAGGACATCGATTTTGGCATCCTCCGCTATCATATAGTCCATGAGGCGTAATGCCGAGGGACTTTTCACCTGTTCATTGCGAAACTTGACAAAAAAAGTATCCTCGCCAGGTGGTGGAGCAAACTACACTTAGAAAAATATAAAAATAACAAACACTTATTAGTTAATATTATTATTTAGAGATTGAAATACGTCACTTGCCTGCAATTTGTTAAAGGCCACAGCAACAATGCGTCCACTCTCCAGATGCCTCACAAACAAGGAAACACCATCCTGTGCCGTGATTCGGGATAGCTCCTTCAGATCCTCACGCGCTTGCGAATTGTGTGGCAAATTAATTTCACAGCCTTTACAAACGGATTCATTTATAAAGAATGCGTTGTCAAGCACCTGGTATAAGCAAAGATTATTTTAAATAAAAATACAAAATAATAAATATTTAAAAATAACAAAAATTGGCAAAAAGCGAAACTGCGTCGGCCGGGAATCGAACCCGGGTCAACTGCTTGGAAGGCAACTATGCTAACCATTACACCACCGACGCCACGTGATTCATAGCGATCGAAATTGCTTTTGTCACGTTTCCAACATGTATTGCTAAATTGCCAGTGGCAATTTATTGTTGTTTTCGTGTTATCTTAAATTGCTTTATTTGACACACGCGTAGTATTTATGTAATTATTTATGTGTATACTTACTTTAAGCGATTCCTCTAAATCTGACAAGGTCATGCTGCGTAGCTCAAACTTTCCTATTAAATATTTAAATATTATACTTCAACATGTTATTTCGTATTTTTATTAAAATTGGTATAGAGAGACGCTCTGGCCAAAAATGATTGATGGAGGTTGAATAAATGTGTTTATATGCATGTAGACATATAAATACGTTTAAGTACATATACTATAAATGTTTTTAGAATGTATGTAAAGTCAGCCCCTTTTCTGCTTTCTATTATCTGCTCATCAAATTAATTTGCAAAATTCATTGTGCTTACATCTTTTTACATAGTTCAAATACTTGTAATAAAAGGCTTTCAGATATGACAGTGCTGAACGTAGAAATTATCTATTTTCGAATGTAATTGAGTCAAACGCACTCAACTTTTATAATCAATATTGTTCTATGTAAATAATCTTAAATTTAATATTACTTACTATTTAATATTAAATTACAATTGTGTAAGTGGCTTTAAACGTGTGCCAGCCTCAAGTCTAGCTTTTTTCTTATTGCTTAGATTCATATAAATCATAAGCCAGTTGAACGCTGCAGATAGCGCAGATACACAGCAAATAACATACACCCAATCCCGTAAGTAGCATAACTAGTTCTAAGCAAACATTATCGTCTAAAAATTTTGTATATAAACCATGCATTTTTCTTCAATAAAGTGAGTGTCTTTTAGAGTCTTAGTATATTCAAACAAGTCTACTCTTTCATTTTATCATCGCACTTACTGTGCGCAACCAAGGACCTATCTCTCCGTAAGTCCAACTAGTTACACGTGCTAGTTGCGACCCCTTTTAGTCGTCAGTTTATGTGCTGACTGCTTCCCTTAAAATATACACAAACTCTTATCGTAGACGCAAAGTAATATACATTGTATTTAAAGTATACACCCTTTTCATACAGCATGTAATGTAAACTATAAATTTAACATTTGTAAATGTTTTATTTCACTTCACGTACCATCGTTCAAAGTTGACCAAAGTTTGCCGTTCTGGGTTTTCATTTCGGATCCTTATCTTGCTGAGCGCAATGGAAACGCAACCGCTATCTGCAACTGTTCGATTGTAACTAAGCTATAAAGCAGCTGGTGATAACACTGCTGACAGATCCGGCGTCGCTCTGGTTACCTTCTGCTAGTGATTTGGGCTTATCATTGTATGTCAATTCTATCGCTAAGCTAAATCTCGATTATTATCAAACTGAACAGAAAATAATTTTCAAATACTTTCTCTAAAACGTATTTACAAGCAAATAGATATTTATATGTACATATATCTATGATATGATATCTATGATATATGTATGCATATATATATTTTATTTTATTGATAAAAAAAGAGAGTACGTAAATTTACTTAAGGAAAATAATTAAAATAAATATAGCCCATAAACTCTGGAAAAACAAAGAAAGAAATGCATTAATCGTTTTAGAATAACTTGAAAACCATATAGCTAAAACTAGTTTATTAATTCATTCAGTATTTTAAGCTTTGCTTTTTGTTTGCGCTATCAGCTTTTTGATAGATTTATTTTCAATTAACAACACTAAGTTATTTCCACTTTATAAGGTTTATTGAATGTATTTAGACTAGAAGCCCAATTCCTAAGCTGATAGCGCAAACATTTGGTGACCCCGACGTGATTCATTGTGTTTCGCGTATCGTTGTAATTAAACCATAAAGTGCGTTTAATAAACAATAACACAAAACAAAACATTAGTCAACTAATTTGCAAAAAAAAACTCTAATTTGAACAACCAAAGGTGCATAAAACAGACACAACAATAAGTGCAATAGAAATCCGCTACTCAATCTCCGTTTAGTGTGTGTCTCTGCTTCGATATAACTTTTGTGAACCTTTTTTCGTGTACATAAGCAGCGTGGGCAATTGAGTACATAGAGACGGTTTCTTTCTCGGCGCAGTTGTTGTTTTCGGTAGTTTTGTGCATTTAGCTGCAATCTCGTGCGCGCGTTAAGCATAAATATGAACACAAGCACAGTCGCGTCCGCAGACAGTGTGCCTGCGCAAATATCGTTTTATAAGCGGAAGGTTGACGATATTTATAATTTGCTGAAAAGTTTTCACATTTCACGTTCGGAATCTGAGATCATTTCGTTTGATGCTGTGCTGCTTAAGGAAAACTTAGACTTAGTGAATAAAATGGAAAAATCGTTTATCCTTGAGCATGAGAAACTGGAGTGGCTTGACTTTAATTAAATATATAGTGAGTACTACCAAGGCTTTCTATGGCTGGGTGCGACATTGAATGTCTGATTAAAACGGCAACTTGAAAAATGTGAATTGCGGTCCATGTCGTTCACACTCGGACACATGGAGTTGATAGCTGATCGGTTGAAAGTTGGTGATAAGAAACGTTTAGTGTCTGAGCCGCTTATCATAGAGACCGACAAGGAAGATGCTGATGCTGGAATTGGAGCTGGATATGGTGAAGTGGCACCCACATCCATACCAAACAGCACTAAAGATGGCTTCGCTGTGGACTATTTGCTGCAAAAGATATCCATGCGACAGCTGCGTTTGGTTGAGGCACTAAAGATGCATCGCTAAGAACTCATTAGCTGAACTCAACTGCAAAACGAAATTCTGTTAACAAAAAAAGAAAAAATGCGTTAAAGTTGTAATTGTTGCAATTATTGTTTAATTTTAAAAGAAGATGGGTATATTCTATATGCATAAAGTGAAAAATTCGGTAAGCGTTTTACCATAAGTTTATTCATTCGCTTTAGCCAAATTACTAACATTAAATTATTCGTTGACTATTTGAAGCCCTGCTTTTAAAGATGCAGCTAATTTGAATTGATTTGAAGCGGTAGTGTTGTGAAAGATGCATCGCTTAGAACAACAGCTGATACGATTATAAGACTTTACAGCACTACCACCAGAAGAAATTCTATTAACAAAAAAAAATAAAAGCATTTCTCGTTGGTATACTTGGAATTGTATTTATTGCATTAATGTAAGTAGCTAAAGATTTAAAAAAAAAGGAGAAGAAAATTAAGAACAGCTTATTGGCAACACGTAATCCATTATTTGTAGAGAACAACTTTAGGAAACCATGACAACGCTGTGCTAAGCAAAAGTGAAACATTCGATTTGATCAGAGAAAGAAAAAGTGTCAATTGCAAAATGTTTATTTTGGACAAAATACTGCCGTTTATATTTAGCTATATACGACCATGTATCAAATGGTTCCTGCACGTCTTCACCCGCCTTTCCGAGCTGCAACGCATCTGCTATGGGGCAAGAGCGGGCGCGCCGCGATGCCGCCAAATCGAGGCATCCTTGATGCAATCGAATCAGCCCGAAATCAAGGGATTGCTCCTCGAACTAGACGAGGGAGCGCCCTATGCCACAGACAGAGAGCTGCTCTACTTCGGTGAGGAAGAGTCGGGCATAATTAATCTCCAGTTTTAAATAATCTTTAATCCGTTGCAGCACCCCGAGCCGTTCACATCGTGTCCCGCGTGAAGCGCATCAAGAGCAATGTGCATCCGGATTTTGGGCGGCTTTTTGGTAATTGTGTGACGACCATTTGGGGCTATCAGCGCCTCATGCATCAGGTGGAGGAACTGCGCTCCGAGGCCTACGACTCGGAGAATCTGGAACATGAGCAGAAGCTGCTACAATTGTGGCAACTCCTAATGCCGGAAACCCCGCTAACGGGTCGCATTTCCAAGCAGTGGCAAGAGATCGGTTTCCAGGGCGATGATCCCAAGACCGATTTCCGTGGCATGGGCATGCTGGGCCTGGACAATCTCTTGTATTTCGCGAGCGCCTACAACGATGCAGCGAAGCATGTTCTGCTACACTCGATGCATCCAACACTAGGCTACACCTATGCCATTGTGGGCATCAATCTCACCGCCCTGGCATACAATCTGCTGCGCACGGGTGCGGCGAAGACGCACTTCTACAATCAGGTGGCGCAGCACAAGCAGAGCTTCAGCACCCTGGAGGATTTCCACAAGCTGTATTGCTATCTGTTCTTTGAGTTCGATCGCTTCTGGATGGAGAGCTCGCCAAGGAATATTATGGACTTCCGGGAGGTGTATCAGGCCTTCGAGATCACCAAACTGGAGGCGCTGCACAATGAGAGCACAATATTCAAAACGAATTTGGTTGTTGAGTCCGTCTAATTATAATTATTAATATTATCGTAATTGTGATTTAGAATTGATTTTGGTTTTTTTATAAATGCAGATTTGATGCGTTTATTTGAGAGAGCTATATTATATATATAGTATATATATGTATGTATGTATGTATGTTTAATATGTATATTTTATATATTATAAAAGCAACTAAAAATGAAATATATATATATATATTTTTTTTTTTTTTTGGAATGACAAGCATAATACTTCAAAAACAGATCAAGGTCGAGATTGCACGTTAAACACGAAAATAAAATCATTTAAATATCACGACGCAAAAGCAATAAACATAAAAGTCAATAAATAATAAATTGGAAAATTCACAAAAATGAAATCAATTCCGACGAATATCCTAAGCATAATCTTATGAATACTATATATCAAATTGGAGCGTTGTCGAGTTGGGTTTGCAAGCTAGTTTTGAATATCAATAAATATATCTGTATATATCTATATATATATATATATATATATATATATATGTGTCTGAGTGCATTTAGCGATAGAATTTGACCTCGGCCTCGACGCAATCCTTGAGCAGTTCGTCCAGCTCATCGCTGGCATGATCCTGTATCGAAAAGTAATTGTTCAACTCATCCACACAGGATCGCTCCAAGCTCCGCAAATGCTCCAAAGCAGCCGGCTTCCGATTGCCATGCAAACTGTGCAACAAAGTCTGCTCCGCATCCGCCTGCACCTGGGTCAGTGGTGAAATGCGCGGCTTGGGCGCAAATACAAACGGCTTGAACACAGAGTCGGCGGCATTGGGTGTCCCGGTGAACCAGTGGCACGATATAGAGCCACCACTTCCCTTGCCACCACTCAAGACGGACACATTGGCCGCCCGCGAGCCCAGGCCGCTGGCTAAGCGCAGCGTCTCAAACATATCCTGTTGTGTATAGTTGCCATCGCCTGCTGGCCTGGGACCACACCAATCCGCCGCCGGCGCCTGCGCCTCAGCATCATGAGCAGCCGCAAAGCTAGCTGACTTATCCAAGCCCTCACTGGATTTGTCCACATTATCGGTGACAGTCAAACCACCGCTGGGCAAACGCAGCCAGCTGGCCTGCAACTTCTCAGCTGCCCACACTTTGCCGGCGCAGCTCAGCAGCCAGGCAGCTGTCGGATCACAAACGATAAAGTTCAGCTTGGCATTGTCGCCACTGTGCTTGGCCACCAATTCGCCCACTCGATCCACGGCATCCTCCACCTGCTGGCAAGCAGCTAAAGCAATGCTGCAGGAGAAAGATATCGATTTTAGTTAGCCTAATTATAAATTTATACATATATATATATTTATATATATACCGCACTATATCGGTGCCCAGCAGGCAATCGGTGTCTGTTGCCTGCTCCTCGCCGCCGCCACTCCAGCTGAGGCTGATAGCCACGCCTTTTTCATTCGCTCCAAAGTCGCCGCCCCACAGCCCAGGCTTGGGTTTCTGCAATATGACACGTTGTGCATCGCCAACCGGCTCCAACGCAGCGCCGCCATCAGTCTGACATGGGATGACTCATTTAAATCGAGATTTTCTTTTTCTTCTCTTTTCATTTCTTTTCTTTTCATTTCTTTGCTTACCTTCCCCTCGAGCACATCGCTGACATCATAGTAACAGATTTCGGTGGCCACGCCCACCGCTGTCGCATCGTCAGCGTTGCGACCTAGAATTAAACAGCCATTTGCACAATTTGTGGGCAACACAATGAAACAGTCAGCATTGGTGGACATTATTCTTTTGACTTTTAATTCAAATGAAATATGCACAGACAGCGTTGGACTTGCAAAAAATTGATTTTTCGCAAACAGCTGTTGCAATTACAGTCTGTTAACTAAATTTATGGCGTGATGTTGGCTGCACACGCAAAAATACTCGTTGCGCGCGTGCTGCCAACTTGATTTAATTTATAATGGACAAATCGATTGCATTGCAATATTATCGATTGTTTCTTCTCTTGTTCTTGCAAGTTTACCATTGCGAGTCACGGCCGCACTGATCTAAAATCGTTGTAAAAGTCAAATATCTAGCAAAAAAAACATTGTAAATATAATATTTTTGCTATTGGTCAAGTTAGCTGCGAAGCGTCGGTAAAAGTGTTGGCCGAAAACGCCGTCGACAAACTGCAATTGTATACAGCAGCAGCAGTCAGTTCAGTTCAGTTCAGTATTGCAGGTGTTGTTGTCTCATTCGGGCGTAATATCGACTTGGTTTGACGTGCGAGCGAAACAACAACAAACAAGTTACAAGGTAAATACTCGTGCATACTCCCGTTGTTGTTGTTGTTGTTGCTGGTGGATGTTCAGCGCCTTTTTTTGTGTGTGTGTTGATTATTTTACTTGCGTGCGTTGTAAGTTGTGGGCGGCTCAAACGGTCGCTGTCCGGCTAAGAAAACCCCCAAACCCCCACAAAAAATAAAACACACCTGGCAACTCCCAAAATTGAAAGCAAAACAAAAATTGTGCAAATTGGAAAGCAAAGCAAAAAAAAGTGACAAAAGTGCTCGCGGTAAAGAAAATCAATATTCCCAATAAGAAAATGCCGAAAAAAATATGACAAAACGCAAATCGCAAAGAATTTCGGCTGCCGCTCCCTAAAACGGATCTTTTTTACATTGCTTTTTAATTTGGAGTATAAATATTGTGTGTGTGTGTGTGTGTGTGTGTGATTGTGTGTTTGTGTGCCGCTTCGCGTTGCTTGACCACTTTGTTGACCGCGCGCATTTTGATGTTGTTTTTCTGTCTGTCTGAACTAGTTTTTTTATATACATTTTCCATATTTGTTTATTTCCTTTTATTTTGAAAATTTTTGTTGGTGTGTTTGGTTTATATTTTCATCCTGCTTTTTAAATTTCAATTTAGATGAAATCGCAGTAAAATCAATAAATTTAAGCTTTGCGTATACACACACAAAAATTTCATATTAATGTGGGGGAAAAAACTGGTTGAAATTCAATTCAATTCAATGCGGCGTGCTTTAAGTGTGAAAGCGGAACACAAACCACCCTCGCAACTTGCCACACGCCACCAGCAACTCGAATTCGCTCCAACTCCCAATTGCAGCCCCCGTTTTTTTCCAAGCATCTATGCTGTGTGATGAAAATATGTGTATATTTATATGTGTATATAGAGAGTGCCGTTACATTCCTCCCCCAATGCGGCATTTCGCCTTACACACACACATTTATATCTGCGTATATGTGTGTGTATCTGTCTCTGTTTGTTCTCGTCGAAAGTGCATTGCTCTGCCGCTATTCCCCCACCCAACCCTCCCCTGCCCCCCTACTCCTACATCGTCTCGCGTATTGTAAACATTACAAAAGCTGCGTGCTGCGCGGCCTCGTTTTAAATATGTGTATGCGAGTGTGTGTGTGTGTATGTGTTTAGTTCTTTTATTTACACTTACACATTGATAATGTTGCTGTTCTCGCGAGCAGTTGGCAACGCACCCATCGCTGCTGGCGCTGCGTTTTCGGCAGTTGGCAACACGTTGACCCAATAACGGTACAATGAGACACCCGCATATATACGTGCACACACATATACAAAGTATGAATGAAAGAAGGCAACTCCACTGTGTTTTATTATTATTGTTGTTGTTACAAAATCTGTGCAAATGCGACCCAAATATGCATTTCTGCATAATTTTCACACTAATTAAACAAAATGTTGCACTGTGGTGCAAAATGCATTTACATTGTTTTTATTTTTCGATTGTGAATTTGTTTACATCGACAGCACAAAAAAAAGAAAGAAAAAAACCAACATTTTATTTTGTGGACAACGGCAAGTTCAATGAACCAATCAAACACAGTGGAATGCTCATCCGTATATATATATATAAATATATATATATATGTGTGTGTGTGTGTGCATGTGAGTGTATTTGTGTGTGATCGCTCAGCGCACGTAACCAAAATTTGTTGGTATTTTTACGGGGTTAGATTATTGTGTTTATCGCCATAATTTGTGTACACTCAATCAAACTTGAATACAACAAGAAAAACAACAACAAGAACAGTTATATGAGGTGCGTTGGCGGGCGCAAAACAAAATATACCTTGACATTGAGAACTCTCCTCTGTATGTAGGTGTGTGCATATATATAAGTGTATGTGTGTGCGTGCGTGTTTTGTGTGTTTTGCAAAGAGAATCGAGAAATGTGTGTGTTATGTGTGAAGTGTACGCTTATGCTATCTCACTCTGACGCACAATATAAGTATTATTTAGTAAATAAACCGGCCTGCCCCTTGTTGTTGTTATTGTTGCTACTTTTTGATTATGTATTCGCCGAATGACCTTGCGAACGGCACCTGCAAAATGTAATGCAAATGCAACTGCAAATTAGATAGAGCTAAATATCGATAACACTTGTCATCGATGAGTCGATTCAAGGACTTTGTTGTGTTTTCTGTCTTGCGCCCACTTTTTGCATGACTTGACTGATTTGCTTATTAATTAAGCACTATTTTTGTAATTTTAATTTTAGCTCAACACGCTGCCTGAGATTGGTCAACTGCGTTCACGTGTCAATTGACCGACAATAATCCTTTTCTGGTGAGCATCAAGAAAAATTTAAATCGGATATTGAATTGAATATTTTATTATTGATTTATTAAGGATTGTAATCAAGGAAGCCATTTTGTCCATCATTTATATCCATAGTTTTTCTCTGTCTGGCAGCACGTTTATCTGATTATAATGCAAAATCAATAAGAAATTGGTTATACTTCTAATATCATCATAAAAGCTATGTATGTTTGGTATTCACATATTCTGCACATGAATATTAGGAATACGTATTGAAATTTAATCGATTTGGTTACTAATCAGGCTCACCAGGTTTGTTTAGGTCACTTAAGATGCGCTTTCAAACTAGTTTAAGAATCTATAGTCAGAGAAAACATAAATATAACGTTACATATTTATAAATAAATAGATAGATAGGATAGATTTATGCGTATGTCTAAATGGACATTATAGATATACATATAGTAATTCTAAAAAGAATTATATAAAAGAATTAAATGTAGTATTAATCTAGTTGGATTCTAGAGGAGAATCCATTTTGGCATAGCTTAAAGTGAATATGTACATCTATAATATGTATATCTATATGGATAGAAGACCATAAGATATACACTTTAAATATATGTTTTTCCTATCAGCTAAAATATATTTATAAATATGTAATATTAGTTGTAAAAACTCGAAATTGAAATGCTTTCTAATTGAAAAACAGTTTGATAATATATGTTTAACCTCTTGCTTGTTGTTACAGTGGGTGTTGTGCAAGCAGACGCGATTCCTTCATCACTTAATGCAAAACTGGAGTTGTTAGACTCCAGCAGCAACGACGACACCATTCACTCCACCAACCTGAATCGCAAACTGATCAAAATTAAAAAGTTTAAGCTGGACGATATGAAGGAAATGGTGGGCGGCTGTTGCGTTTGTTCCGACGAGCGGGGGTGGCCGGAGAACCCGCTCGTCTACTGTGACGGCCAAAATTGTACGGTTGCTGTGCATCAGGCATGCTACGGCATCGTTACAGTGCCCACCGGACCCTGGTATTGTCGCAAATGTGAATCCCAGGAGCGCACCTCACGCGTCCGCTGCGAGATTTGTCCGTCGCGGGACGGAGCCCTCAAGAAGACAGACACCGCTGGCTGGGCCCATGTCGTCTGCGCCTTGTACATACCCGAAATACGCTTTGGCAATGTGACGACCATGGAGCCCATCATACTGACCCTAATACCCCAGGAGCGCTACTCGAAAAGTGAGTAATAATTGGATTGAGTTGAGCCTTGAGTGAGAGTAGCTAATTATTTTTGTTAATCTGCATTTCAGCTTGCTACATTTGCCAGGAGATTGGTAAGTCAAATCGGGCGAATGTCGGCGCCTGCATGCAGTGCAACAAGGCGAATTGCAAGCAACAGTTTCATGTGACCTGCGCCCAAAGTTTGGGCCTGCTCTGCGAGGAGGCTGGCAACTATTTGGACAATGTCAAGTATTGTGGATATTGTCAGCATCACTACAGCAAATTGGTGGGTATATGCTTCTTTTTTGGCATTGAGCATCCAGCGTTTCTCTTCTCATGCCTTGTCATATATATTGCAGAAAAAGGGCGGTAACGTCAAAACCATACCACCCTATAAACCCATTCAACATGACACCTCCTCCGATTCGTGCTCGTCGCCCGAGAAGGAAATCGATTCGACCATGAATTCGGCACCCACCTCAGCGACAAGCATCAAAATCACCACCAGCAGCACCAGTAGCAGCAACAGCAACACACTCGCCATCAGCTCCTCAAGTCTGTCGGGAGGTGGTGCGTCTGGTGCAAGTGCTGGTGCAGGTGCTGGTAGTGCTGGCAGCAACGTTTCATCCTCATCAAAGCAGCGCAAATCAAATGCCTCCGGAAAATCATCATCCTTGTCCTCATCATCATCGTCCAGCAGCAGCAGCAGTTCCACAACAGCAACGGCACCACAAAATACTACAAGCTCGTCGAATACTGGCGTTGCTGCTGCAAGCAACACTTTAGCTGCGAGCAGTTTTCTAGCCAGTGGCGCCACCAACACCAGCAGCAGCAACAACAACAGCTTAACTGGACCTGCCACATTAGGTGTTGGTGGTGTTCTTGGTGGTGCTGTCACCGCTGGCAATGCAATCAATAGCACCTCTCTAACTGGCTCAGGCAGCGGCAACGGCAGTGGCAGCAACAATCCAATCGTATCCAGCAATTCTACCAGCAGCAAATCATCGGCAACCAGTTCCAGCAGCAGCTACAAGGATAAGCATAGCAAAAGTCTGAGCAAACAGTCCAGCTCCAGCAAAGATAAAGATAAGGATAACGCTAACAATTCAACAAACAATAGTTTTTCCCACTCCTCCGCCTCGTCCTCATCGTCATCCTCATCCTCGTCACGCGAAAAATCCTCCAAGTCGTCGAAGAACAAGGAGAGCAGCACTAAAGAAGCTGCAAACGCTAGCAGTGCGAGCAGCAGTGGCAACAGCAACACCCTTGCCACAAGCAGCAGCACCACTGGCAGCAGCATGCCCAATGCAAGTAGCAGTCATCCCGGCGCAGTCTCCAGCAGTGGCAGCAGTGGCAACAACATGTCTGCTGTCTCCATAAATGAGCACAGTAATCATGCCCAGAATCTGAGCACAACTGCGGCGGGCAAACTGCAGTTGGCCAGCAATTTAGGTGGCGGTTACGGCAACGATTTGCTGCATGCAACAGCAAATAGCAGCAGCAGCAATAATGCCGCCAAGGATCATCCCAGTGGAGGCAATGCTAGCAATTTGGATAGTTTGTTGGGCGCTGGTTCGTCCACAGCAAACAGTGGCGCCAATTTGCTGGGTCTCAGCTCGAATTCAGGCAATAATCTGAGTGGCAGCAATAAGGCAGCAACATCTGTTGCAAGTGCAACATCCACAACAGCAGCATCAAGCCACAATCAGTCACAATTGTCGAGCAGCTCCTCCACCGTGTCCAAAAAACGAAAAGTGGACATTACCAAATCGAGCGTCAATCTGGATGATCACAATAGGTAAATATATATATTATTATATTTATAAATATAGCTATAATTATATCAAACTATTTCTGCAGCTCCTTTCGGGATATTATCAAGGATGTTCATGTGTCTTTAACACCTCTAACGGACTTTGAGAAGGAAATCGAGAAAAGCTCCAAGCGGGTGAGTCAAATCTTTTGTGCTTCTTCTTTTACTTCACTCTCAGCAAAAAGAGAGCGCAGCTCTTGAGTTATTTTTGTTGTGCTCTTCGCGCAGCTCTCGCCCACTCTCTCTGCCTATCGTCTGCTGGGCACAATGTTGCCTTTGAATTATCGCCTTCTAATCTTGTACACTTGTCGACAACTTGTCAAATGCCAGCGCTGTCATGCTTCTCTCTCTTTCTCCCTCTCTCTCTCTCCACTGTCTACTCTCCACTCTCGATTGGAAAGGACAAGGAGATTAGTCGACACAGTGTTCGACAGTATCGCCATTTCAGTCGCACGCATTTCGCAGCCGATGGCGCAGGCGCTTTGCCAACTTTCGTATCATATTTATAAGTAGAAATGCAATTATTAATGCATACACCACCTTTCTCAATTTATATACACATAAATACATATAAACACACATCTATATAGAACGTCAAAAGCAAGGTGCACTTCTTTCTCTATATATAAAAAAAAAAATATATATATATATATCAACGTATAGATGTGTGCAATATGTATTAACGGAGGCGTGAAAGAAACTTGCGGCGAGCATTTCGTATTTTTCAATAAATACCCTTTGTAGTTGAAAAGCTTTTGGTTAATTACGTTAAGCTTAAGAATATGCCAATGAATTATCGAACAATAAAAACTTATTGATCTTCCATATTTTGATGCTGTTAAACAGAAGGGCATAAATTTAATCAAGATCAGTATATTTATGCTAGTACTTTAAGCATTTTAACACTTAATTTATTTGGTTTAGTTTCTGCCTCTCACTGTTAAGTGATGTGCCAAAGCTTTTGATCCTGTTCCGTCGTGTGCAGGCAAAAGCTTTACTTGCCTATCGTTGACAAGTTTAACCCTTGACTGCTTTTTCCTACACTTAACATACATTTAACACTCTTATACAATATTTAACAGCTGTGATTATTTGAGCAACTGTTAGCAATAAAAATCTGAAACAACTTATAAAATTATACAAATATCATCATTCTATTTAACAATTAATTATTTTAAAATATGGTTAAATAAGAAAATACCATTTAAAAATCTTGATATACTTTATTATGAGATCTACACATAAAGACCAAATATTTTCCATTGTTGTTTAATTTATATTTATGCGTTATCTGTGTACGCACATTTGAATATGTCATTGAGTACAGGATATCTTCCAGTCAGTCATCTTGAATTTGTTTTTGAAATGCTTCAGTTCGTGAATATTATTTTTGCCTTTTGTGTTTTGTTCCAATCAGTACTTAAAATGCATATAGAGAAGCATTTCTCGATTTGATTGATGTACATTGACGTGCCCATGTCCCATTAATTAAAATTGAAGACCAAAAACGTTGCAGCCAATAAATTAATTAAATGTAAATCTGGTAAACATAACCACAAAATTAGAACTAAGAATCAAAATGATGCTCGAAGAGAAAATGTCCTGTGCCCGTGTGTTTTGAATTAAAATCATACAAAAATAAAATAATATAATCCAAATGAAAATATAATTATTACATAATTAAGAGAAATATTGTTATATTTATTTAAAATCTATATAAATATAGGCCACTTGGCACTATTCAATAATTCTAAAAACAATACAGAATAGATGTCTTGTTGATATTTTAGATAAAAATTCCTATTTACTTACATTTCGATTTGTAAAGTATTTCCGTTTTCGCAAATTTGAACACATAACCAAGAAAATTGTTATAAACTCTCCCAAAATATACATTAAAAAAGCCACTCAATCGTCACTTATGCGAATATTGAATGATTGATTGATTTGATGCCTTGAGATTGATGGCAGCACTGAGAGATTACTTTACAGGGTATTCTACGAATAATTGCTGTGCTACTTTGTCGATATCTTGCGTTGTCATTAAACTTAAAAAGAAAACTGCTGGAAAATGAAGCAATAAAAAATATTTCTATATTCGTTTAATGTGATTTCGTACAGCGATTAACGGCAATGATCGCATTAAAAACATCCTCATTTGATTTGTTGGGCGTGTATATATATATATTAATATTAGTATTGTTGTTGTTGTTAGCTTGTTTGCTGTTCGTTCGGATGTTTTGCGTATGTTTCTTGGCAATGTAGTCATCCCAAATCGTTTGGCTCCGAGCTGTGCGATTTGTGCGAGCTACGAGCTGCTCGGCAATCATTGTCGCTATCGTTGGTTTTGTGCCGTGTGCAGACAAAAGATACTCAGAGCCAGAGCCAACCATCAAAAAGTTGACAATTTTCTAGCGCGCTCAGTCGAAAATCGTTGCTAACCGAAGCCAAAAGGCTCTAGTACAATTAAGAAACAAACTAAGAAAGAAAACTCTAGCGAACTTTTGCGAATTTTTTATTATTACGAACGAGAAAAGTAAATATACTCGAGATAATCTCACACACATACGTCATAATATATATAAATATATATATATATATCAAATACATATATACTAACATACTCGGTCTGTTGTCTGCATATATCGGTTAAAGCTGCCACACGCAAAAAGAAATTCAAGCGAATTGCATATGATGAAGTTTAATTATAGAAGCGACGTACAAATTTGGCACACATTTTGACACAAACCAAAAAAACCACAAAAAAAGAGGAAGGAATGTAAATGTAGCAGTCTCCATTTGAACTCGTATTTATAGATCTGTTTTTTCGTGAAAAAAGCTTTTTGGCCAAGTGTATGTGTGAAAATATCAAAAAAGCTAACCGAAAAGTTTTCAAATGTTTCCAGCAAAATGACGAATTCGAACCTTAACCATGTGCAAAATCAATCCAAATGACCTTTATGGTTGAAGAGCCTGGCTAACATTTATTGTAAACAATGTGTTGCATTCGCAGACTGTTTAGTGTTTAGTCAGTTAGCTAATCATGAGAATGCAATTTCTCAAATCGCGCCGAAAATAAAAATAATTTTTTCGCACACAACATTTTTGCCCTGTTACCGCACAATAAAAAAAGAAAGAAAAACGAGAGAGAAATGAAGAAAAGTTTTTCAAACATGTGCGTGTGTTTGTGTACAAGTTGAAAAACCACAGGCGCCGCTGCCTTGAGATACACACCAACACACACACACACACAGGGAGAGATACGCACACACATATTTCCATCGCATCGCACACTCTCTGTGCGAGATATTAAATGAAAATTGTTCCGCATCTAAAGTTTCTCAAATCAACTCACAAACCGAAAAAAAAATATTATAAAAACCGAAACTGAGGCAATCTCAGCGCCGTGTGCCGTGTGCACTCACAATTCTATAGATTAGTTTGCGTTGAGCAATCTTCCAGTTCAGTTCTCAGTTCTTGCTTTTTCGGTGTGGTGTGTGTGGTGTTTTGTGTCCGATGTAGGTGCTGTTCCTCATATCATTCCATACACATCTAAATATACACACATATACATAAATATATATATCAAGAAAATTACAGATATATATATATATTACTGATAAACGTGGTGGCTATTAACTGATATGGCACATGCACTAACCCAAACCAAACTAGTCAACCCATTAGCCAAGTTAACAAGAATGCATACCTCGATAAATATACTGACAAGTGGACAGTGGGAGACAGTGACAAAGAGTGACTCAAGCAGACGAAAACTATCTGAAAAATGGGTTTGTCATCATCATCATCATCATCATCGTCATGATCCTCTTCAACATCAGCAGCGATCATAAATTTCATTTTGTTTTTCGTATTCACCTGTGTTATTTTTATACAAATTTGTTTGCTCATAGATAGATACACATTTATTGCTCACAACTTGTTTCAACAAGAATTTCGTTTGCCAAAGTTTTCCTTTTGCTCATCATAAATTTAGTATGCATGTGTGCGTGTCTGTGTGTGATTGGGTAATTTTCTTGAAAAAATCATTAGCTTTGCGCGCTTCCACTGATGATGGTTATGACAGATGACATTTTCCAAAATCTGACGTGCTTTAATTAAAGCCAAAACTCAAAAGTAGTTTCGACTTACAGACACACATTAATATCTATTATTGGAAATATTTGAGTACATTTGCCAAGATGTACATATAGTGAGTTTCTACACAAACCTCATGAAAATCGATAGCATTTTAAAATGTGTTAATTTTTGAAACATGTATTCAGATCTAACACAATTCTTTGCATACATATATATATATAGAAATATGTTTAGGACTGATTACAAATATATTGTTTAGATAGATTGTTTAGAACATATACTAAAACATCTCCATTCTATACAATTAGAACTAAAACTTTCAAAAACTTAAATGCATCAATATTTTGAATATAAATTAAAAACTACCTGAATTATTTGCATACATGTACTAAAACGTTGTCTGATCTTTTAGAACATGTACAGAGAAAGTAAAAAAAATTATATGTCAACTTAAGGGGTATTAAAGTATTTTGAATAAGAGTTCAATACTTTTGACACATATACTAAATTGTTTTAAGCATTCACACTGTGACTATTCAGATAGCTACAACTATATTGTTTTTAATATTTTAGAACATGTACAGAGAAAATAAAATCAAAATTCATATTTTTAAGCTAAGCCAATTACAATATTTCCAATAAGCAAATAAATTCAGATGGCGGACATTTAGATAGAGACAGAAACATTTTTAAAACGTGTACTAAGACATATAGAAAACCACAACTTAAAGAAGTCATTTTTAAATTGGAAATTATTTGAAATATGTGCAACTTGGTGCATGGACTAAATTGTGATTAGGGAGACACGATTACATCAAATACACATGTACCTACATGCAACAAGCGACTTTAGATCCGATACGTTTTCATCTCATTCATCGCTTAACAACTTCATCATCATCATCATCTTCAGCGAGAACAACACGATCATCATCATCATTAAAAGAGCTTTGCTTCAGTTTCCCAGTTGCTGCAACGAAACCCGAAACGATGCTGAACGCTATCTGCCACAATTGTGTTATATATTCTGGTCTCTGTTTGCACTTTCAGATAATAAGCATAATATATACTTAGATACAGATACTGTTAATTGTTAGAGAGAGATCAAAAGGAAACAACAACAACAGCAACAACAACAAGTACAACAAATAGTCAAAGTTAACAATAAAAAAAGAAATACAATTAAAAAAAATGCCACTGCAACCGATTGAGTCTCCCAAATGCCCAGTGTGTGGCAAGAGCGTCTATGCCGCCGAGGAGCGTCTAGCTGGCGGTTATGTTTACCACAAGAACTGCTTCAAGTGTTCCGTGTGCAACAAATCATTGGATTCGACCAATTGTGCCGAGCACGATCGCGAAATCTTCTGCAAGCTGTGCCACGGCCGTAAATATGGACCCAAGGGCTACGGTTTTGGTTCCGGCGCTGGCACCCTCTCCTCGGACAACGGTGTCCACTTCCAAAACGGCAATGAGCTGCCCGTGAGGAATGGCGCCCGTCTCGAACCACGTGCGATTGCCCGTGCGCCGGAAGGCGAGGGTTGTCCGCGTTGCGGCGGTTATGTGTATGCGGCAGAACAGATGCTGGCACGTGGCCGCAGCTGGCACAAGGAATGCTTCAAGTGCGGCACCTGCAAGAAGGGCCTCGACTCGATTCTGTGCTGTGAGGCGCCCGATAAGAACATCTACTGCAAGGGCTGCTATGCCAAGCAGTTCGGGCCCAAGGGCTATGGCTATGGTCAGGGCGGTGGTGCCCTGCAATCCGATTGTTATGCCAACGATGAGGGTGCACCGCAAATGCGTGCCGCCATCGAGGTGGACAGGATTCGTGCCCGCCCCGGTGAGGGTTGTCCACGTTGCGGTGGTGCTGTGTTTGCCGCCGAGCAGAAGCTGTCGAAGGGTCGCGAGTGGCACAAGAAGTGCTACAATTGCAAGGATTGCCACAAGACGCTGGACTCGATCAATGCCAGCGATGGACCCGATGGCGATGTCTACTGCCGCACCTGCTACGGCAAGAAGTGGGGACCCCATGGCTATGGCTTTGCCTGCGGTTCCGGTTTCCTGCAGACCGATGGTCTGACCGAGGATCAAATTAGCTCCAGTCGTCCCTTCATCAATCCGGACACCACGTCGATTAAGGCGCCCGAGGGTGAGGGTTGTCCACGTTGCGGTGGCGCCGTCTTTGCTGCCGAACAGCAGCTGTCCAAGGGTAAGATGTGGCACAGGAAGTGCTACAATTGCACCGATTGCCATCGTCCGTTGGACTCGGTGCTAGCCTGCGATGGTCCCGATGGCGACATCTATTGTAAGGCCTGCTATGGCAAACACTTCGGCCCCAAGGGCTTTGGCTATGGCCATGCCCCCACCTTGGTGTCCACCACTGGTGAGTCAACCATCCAGTTTCCCGATGGTCGTCCGTTGACCGGTCAACGCAGCTCGGGCGGCTGTCCGCGTTGCGGTTTCGCCGTCTTCGCTGCCGAACAGATGATCAGCAAGAGTCGCATCTGGCACAAGCGTTGCTTCTACTGCTCTGACTGCCGCAAGTCTCTGGACTCAACGAACCTCAACGATGGACCCGATGGCGACATCTATTGCCGCTCCTGCTACAGCCGCAACTTTGGACCCAAAGGCGTTGGCTATGGTCTGGGTGCGGGCGCTTTGACAACGTTCTAAAAATTGCAGCTGCAACTGCAACTGAAACTGAACTTTTAACTTAAACTTAAACCAAGCAGCAATCGTTCCGATTTATTTGTTTTAACTTTTATAGCTGTTTCAAAACCCCAACTAATTAACTATCCAAGAACAAAACTAGCTAACTTTAGTCTTCGGTTTTCCAACGATTTTTTGATTAACGACTTGCCGAAACTGCTAACGTTTTTTGTCCATAGGTTATGTGAGAAATAAGCTTTATGAACAAATTACAAAACAAAAAAAAAAAAAACACAAAAAGTAATGAGAAAAAAACAACAAAAAAATAAAAGAAAATTTTGAAAAAAACCAACAAAAAAAAGAAATGTATAAGTTGAACTTCAGAACTTATAGTACGAAAATAAAAATCGAATTAACGAATTCAAGTATCGACAATGGCACAGGCAAAATAAATAATAATTATTATTGTAACATATAGCAGAGTATGCAGGCTAACACAGCGCAAAACAGTTGCATCTATTCACTTGGACTGCACTGTAACGCAGACTACAAATCTCACGAGAGCGAAAGAGACGAAGTGAAGAGGTGAAGAAGACAGCTGCAGTCATTTATCTATTTCGATGCGAAATTATATGTAATATGCTCCAATATATAAAAACAAAATACAGAGAATATTCTAGAGCTATTGCTCCTATGATTATGATTATTATAAATTGATGAAAGATGATGATTATGATTATGATAATGATGATGATATATGATGTATATGTATATTTAGCTTATTTAGAATTGTATGTTTTAAGTACTACTTGCGAAATCTTGATGATATTTCATATCTCTACTTATATATATATTTCAATTATTCTTTTTTTCTAATTCATGAGCAATGGATTCGCTCTATTTACAAACACACACACACACACCAAAACAAAAAACACACACACACATAAACACATATATAACATCCAATAATATATATGCCCCAGTGGGTTCCATGAAAACCAAACAACAAAAAGAAATTATTTTGGAATTCGTTTTCAATTTTCAATTAGACTCTTTTTTATGGGCGCATACCTGTATTACAAATGTGTATATATTTGAATTTTCAGTGGGTGTTTTGGGTGCAAAGCGTTTCACGTTTTTTGCTTTTGGGATTGAGCCACCGCATATGGTCTATATATAGCGTCCGACCGATCGACCGACTTCGAAAAACAAAATAATTGCTCAACATGCCTGCTAAACTTAAGTGTGTCTACACACGCACACACAAATTTATATATATATATATATGTATAAATGTTTATATATATATATATATATATGTATATAAATATATCTATATATATAGTTAGTTCTCAGCAAAAAAGCATTCGTAATGTGTGTGTTCCATAACCGTATCTGAAACGATTTTCTAAATATAAATATGATGCTAATATGCTGCATACAAAAGAGCGAAAAGCTCCGCCTAATTTTCACTCAAGAGAAATTTGTAAATTGGATATTTATTTGTTTATCGCATATAGTAAGTATAAATATATATGCCACGTGCTTGATTATCCTCTCTCTCTCTCTCTCTCTCTCTCTCTCTCTCTCTCTCTCTCTCTCTCTCTCTCTCTCTCTCTCTCTCTCTCTCTCTCTGCCTCTCCTAAAACTATTTCTCTTTGGGGCACTTAGTTACTCATAGTATTGGAAATGGAATTCATGTCATGTGTCATCTTCTTGTGTTCCTCAAGCTGTCAAAACACTTGCAATTAATCGACAACGCGACATTTGACTTTATGTCAGCGTCATCATACAACAATTTTCTTTAAAAATATTCACATTTCTTGCAATTCTAAGTTTACAATTTGGCATCCATCTCATATACCCTAATGACACTTAAAATTTGATTAGCTGTTTTAGTTTCCAGTTGCACTTTGATACACATGCATTGCATATCATTTTTTTGAAAAAGATTCGTATTTTTTAAACACCACATTTGAGAAAAAAATGTGTTTTCCTTATCAAATCTGTTCAAGTCATTCCTTCTGCATCACAAAGTAATTTTCGTTATAATATTCATTTTAATTAAATATCAGATTAAGATTGAACTTAAATGAATAACTGTTTTTTTTTTTCCTTAAATCAATATTTTAATTCAAAGTCATTTGATAAAGTCTAAATTTGATTTAAGTCAAAAAATAATAGTAAAACTAATTTTGAGTTTCTTAAATGATTTTGTAATAAAGTTGATTGATCATAGAAAATTGAAAAGAAAGGTTTGAAAATATAATTTTTAATTTTAAAATTCTTATAAATCTGCTTTCATATTTATCTTATTTATTTTAGACAACTGTTCTTTCTTGTTTAATGTCTTGCCCAAAATATCTTTATTTAAATTCATATTAAAACAGATAAAGCAACCGAAGACTAATATTCTTAAAAACACTTCATGAAGTCCGATTGATGTGTACAATAATAAAGTATAATCTACAAATGATGGTTTATTTTGTGGCTAGTTTAATCAATTGGAATACTTAGTCGAGCGAGATTGACTAGGAGATACCTTGAACCCAGCTATCATTATTATTACTATCTATTAAATCTATTGTTTCCTCTTCTGCGCCTATAGATCTTCTTTTCACTGTAATTCCTGGACGAGAATGAGAGAATCGTTGTCGGTTTGAGGGTTTCTATGTCCTCCGAATTTAAAACATGTTTCCCAGAGTACTACATCTTTTCCTACCTAAGACTGTTAAAGATGTTATTCCGTTAAACACACTTTCTAGTTGTAATGCCAAATCTTCTCTTAAATGACTTTGCACTCAAAAATATAATCAAGGAAGCCCCATCGTTAGAAACTAGAAGTGTATTGTACATTTGTTTGTTTGATTTTGTATTAATAAGTATATTATATAAATATGAAGCCTATCTCTTTTCAATTGTGTCTTCTATTGCTATCAGAAATCGATTTATATCGATATTTGCGAAACGAAGGCAATAAATTCAGATAAACTTGATCTTAATATCCAAATTTAAAATCTCTTCCTATCATAATCTATGAAATCAGACTCGACTTTTGGTGCTGATCAAGACCATATATATCTCTTGTGGCCGGACATGCTTTTTTCTACCTGTTGTATATTTGAGCACAATTACAAATATCCATTTTAACCGTTTTAAATGGGAGAATTTAGTGAAGCAATTGACCAGAAAGCTTATACTATGAATATTATATTTATTACTTTGACACTCAAGTGGAAAATGTATGAGATTTTGATTAGGAAACTGCGCAGGATATCTGGCAGTCAGTCAGTCAAGCATCAGCATTTATAATAACATATTTTTCTTATTTTCCGCAATGACGTTGATTACAAAAAAAAAAAATAGTTGATGTTGCCAAGCGAGTCGATGCCATGTATATATAAATATATGTATGTATTTAAGTACATATATATTATTTTCTTTAATGTTGTTCAATAGCAAAAATAGCTGAAATTAATTGTCTGAGGTCGTTTGCAGCCAGGTGTGTTTTTCATGCTATGATTCTATTCACACACAGCTCACCTCACAGTTCGCCGATACGTAGCTATGCCATATTTTTAGACCTTCCTAGTCAGCGTCTATTTTTGAGTCATTCGTTTTTGAAATTTTTGCACATATGACACATGCGAGAAAGAGCTCTCAACATTTTTTTCAATTGATAAACAAGACACTGCCACTTTGGATGACTATGCCGATGAGCTCTAAATATAGTGCATAAATTCTTATATATTTATATAAATACATATGTATATCATTATTTTATTTTGACATTAATTAATTTTTAATATCCCGAACCGGATTTCTGCGTTATTGAAATATGTGACTGTTTGTATATGAGGGCGATCTTGATTATGATTTGGATATAAAACGGATGGATGTGCGTGGGTGCCTTGTTGATGGACAGGAAATGTTCGCCCGGCTTTCGTAGCATTGATAAATTTTCGTTTATTATTTGCGTGATGTACAATCAATCCTCAATCTTCTGCGCGTATCAAAATTACATTTACGTGACTGCAATGCATTTAATGGCCGAATTATTGATTTCACATTAACGAAACTTTCCAATGGAGGGGAAAATACCTATTTGGGGGCTGTTTTTTCTATTTTGTGTGTTGGTCACACCGGTAATTCGTTTCTGGCTGCAAATCACCAATTGTAAAATCTAAAATGCAATTTCTGTTTAAAATGTAACCACATTACAACAATCAACATCTGCAGGGGAGAGTTCCTTTTCTTCTCCTTTTTTTTAAATAACACTAACAAAACAGTAGTAGAAGAAGGACCTCATGCAGTGTTATTTATTGTCCTGCTGTTGGCAATGTCCTTCCACGGCGGTGGTGGGTGACAATTCATAAATATGTCACCCGTGACTGTATTCAATTATGGGTGCATGTCAAAAATGATATTGAACTATGGCACACGTACTCTTCTGTATGTGTATTTAAAGGGAGTGAAAAGTGAAAAAATAAAAATAATGTTTTTCCCCATCCCTTATAATGTCCTTTATCGAAAGAAAAACTCAAAAATACATATGCAAAAAATCCAAATTCCTAATAACAATTTTATTTGCAATAAGTTTTAATTTAAAAATTAAAAAAAGATCATTATGATGTTAAGGAATAAATGGTTATTGAAAAAAAACAGATAAGAAAAGGCAGAAAAAAACACTTTTTTGAGAATAAGCTCAATTTTTTGAACAACAATCAGATTTATAAAATGCTGATCTTAGTTATAAGTTCATCTAATGTAGGACTCGACTTTTATATAACAATTATAAATCGGTCACATACATACATACATATATATATTTAATTAGTAAAACTAAACTTATTTGTAATTTTGAAAAACAATTGTCTTAGAAATCGGAAACATACATTTAAGATTGTGTATCAATAATTGATAATAATAATTATCAATAATTGATAAAACAGGAAAAAAAATTAACAATTAAATGTTTTTCGCTCCACCCTAATATAATAATAATAATCAGGCATATGTGCATATATCATATATGAAAGAAAAGCAAATACATTTATTTTTTTGTGCAGTGTCAGCTTGGCCTGCGGCACTTTATGACTGCTTCTCGTAAAAACTGTTTGACATTGGTGGCTTAACTGATTCCTTCTAAGTAGTCATAAAAATAAAACATTTTGTCAAACAATTTTCCCGAAGCAATTAATTTTTGTGCACACAACGGCGACGGACGAGGCCTAGTTACGGGCAGACCTTCAGCCAGGTCACCCGGCAACAAAATCAACACCTTTTTTGGGTGGCACTGTTGTCCTCGTCTTGCTGCATTTGCCATATTCATAGGCGCGACACGTGTCCCGTTTACATTTTATTGTCCCGCTGCCTATTTATATGTGTTTGTGCTTTTATAACGTTTAACATTGTTCGTTTGCTTTTACACTTTTTTGGAGTTGATTGTTTTTAGCCCGAAAGCACGGAAACTGTTGTTATAAAGAACAGCGATCGTAAAACAGATGTTAAGTGACAGATTAACAGTATGTAGATAATAAACTGTTAGCAATAACAGCCAAACTGAGCTGTTCATTAAATTGGTTTGTGACTGTTAATGCCATAGCTGTAGCTGTTAATCTTATGGCCTCTTTCCCACCCACTATTTTGTGTGTGCTCTGCAAATATGTATTTGGCTG